TCTGAAACTTCCTATCATAAAGTGGGAAGGTCAACAATTCTTCAGCTTTCACTACTTGATAGATTGGTTTTTGACTCAAATAGTCTATTTACAACTGGAATGTTAAAATGAAGAATTTTAATGATTTAAAAAGAAAAAAAAGAAGATTCATATGTATTAAACCCTATTGTTGCAGTTTCTGAAGGATTTAGATTCTATTTCCATACTAGATTCTATTTGTTGACAATAAATGTTATGGAAATTTTTCTTTTGTTTTTCTCCAAATGCGCTTTCTCTATCTGAAGGAAATGTATTGTTAGTCGAGGCTAAGTTTGTGGAAGACTTTAGAATATAGAGTACATCAAAAAATTATTTTTTCTTTCACTGGTGCTAATGAGCTCATTAGCTTAGTCTCAGCAGTTAATAAGTTACTCTTGGGAATCTGCTTTTGTGGCACACCTCCCATTTTCCTTTGATGGTTATGATAACATTTGCTAAGTTCAAGTTGCCACAGATTGAGACATTAGATTTCAGCCTCCAACATCAATGATATATGTAATTTAGTGCCCAAGTGATCCCGGAATGAGGGTCAAACTATATTGGCCAAATTTGAAACATGCCATAAAATGCATGATACTGTGTCATAAAGTTACACTTTGACCCATTCTTTAGCATATTTTTTACATATAAATATCACTGAGATTCATGTTCACAATATTAATTACTCACATGAATACAGGGATATTGAAAAATATTGGATATAGACACAGCCCACAAAGAGCTTACCATTAAGAGAAGAGAAAATTTTTACAAATGAAATAAGTGAAGTAAGTATAAGTAATAAGTGCTCAATTATCGGATCCAGGGGATCAATATAGATCCTCGTGGAATCGACCTAGACTCTTACAACCTACCACATTATACTAATTTCCAGGTGTTACATAAAGCTTCTGATTTTAGAAGGTTAGAGACTTCCTTCTATTATTGCTGAGCAAAGAAGACAACTGACTTTAATGGGATTTTCTTCAGTTTTCATCCTTGTTTCTGTTCCTTTGCCAAAGCTTTTCATCTAGCAGTTTATTTGTCAGGGATGGTTGTGTGTGTTTTCCAGTCAAGATCAGTATGTGAAATAGGTCTATCATTTATTTCTCCAGCAGTTGGCGAAATGGGTGCCTCAATTTATAGACCCTATTGGTCTCTTTTTCCTCTTCTTTCTCAGCTTAGTCTTTATTGGTCTCTAAAACAGTATTAGATAAAGCCTTTTATTACTACGTGTGCTCTGTCACCAGCTACTTTTTGCGCTGACTGTGTGATAAGCAGCAGGCACTGTGGGTGATGTTGGTGATACAGTGAGTCATTGATTAGATGCCAGATTTCCTTCTGGAATATTTTCTCGGGTAGAGTAGTAAAGCTAGCCATGTGGGCAAACATTTTCATCTTTGAGATATGAAATAAAGTTACAATATAAATGTGATCCTTGAAACTGGCATAGCACAATCCCCCTCCATCAACCCAGGGAGAACTGTTTTGAAGTCAATCATTTGAATAAAATCACGGATAATAGAATAGTAAGGAAATATTCCCAGCCAAGTTCATAATTAGTGGACTGTATTCCTGATGCAGTTCCAAACATTACTTAATGATATAATTAGCCAGACAAACGTGTGCTTTAATGAATGCATATGCAGCACAAGGTTTGTGCTGCTTATTATTTTCTTTCCTTTGGACAGAAACTGTTTTTATTATTGTTGTTATTCTTTTTTTGTTAATCCTCATCCAAGGATATTTTTTTCATTGATTTTAGAGAGAGTGGGAAGGGGGTGGGGGAGAGAGAGAAGCATCTATGTGAGAGAAACACATCAACTGGTTGCCTCCTTTACGTGCCTCCTTGAACCTGCAACCCAGGTATGTTCCCTTAACTGGGAATCGAACCTGTGACCCTTCTGTGCATAGGCTGATGCTCTAATCATTGAACCACAACTGCCAGGGCTCCTTGTGAGGGTGAGAGTCTGTGATTTTCTAGTAGAACTATATTTTCATTACCTATTGCAGCCTCATTGGATTGATTTTTGATTATTTCTTAACTAGAGGCCCAGTGCACACAATTCATACACTGTGGGGTGGGGTGTCCTCAGCCCTGCCTGCACCCTTTCCAATCTGGGATCCTTGAGGGACATCCCTCTCACAATCCACGATTGCTGGCTCTTAACCACTCACCTGCCTTCCTGCCTAATTGCCCCTAACCACTCCCCTGCCAGTATGATTGGCCCCCAGGTGCCTTCTCCTGCAGGCCTGATTGCCCCAAACTGTCCTCTCCTGCCAGCCTGATTGCCTCCAACTGCCCTCCCCTACTGGCCTGTTTGCCCCCGACTGCCCTCCCCTACCAGCCATCTTGTGGTGGCCATCTTGTGACAATGTGGGGATGGCCATCTTTTGATGACATGAGGGCACAAGGGCCATCTAGGCTTTTATTAATATAGATAGGAGTCATCTACTTTCTCGGGTACCTTTTGGTCTGAGTAGAAGTGGTGGTGTCAAGATTGAGAAGCCATGGGTGCCCTGAAAGAATGCTTTTTAAAAAATATATATTTTTATTGATTTCAGAGAGGAAGGGAGAGGAAAAGGGAGAGAGAGATACAAACATCAATGATGAGAGAGAATCATGGATTGGCTGCCTCCTGCAAGTCCCCCACTGGGGATTGAGCCCACAACCTGGGCATATGCCCTTGACCAGAATCAAACCTGGGACCTTTCAGTTCACAGGCCAGCACTCTACCCACTAAGCCAAACTGGCTAGGGCTTACCTATGGAGGGTTCTCTCTTTTCCACATCCAGCGTGGCTAGAGAGCATCCGGTCCTGAGTAGGGGCTGCTGGGGATTGAGAAAATGAAAGAGACAGACACAGAGATGGAAAGAAAAGCTGGGGCCTGGAGGGACCGCTGCCCTCTTCTGATGGAGAGACAGGGACCCAGAGCCAATACAACGTGTTTATTTTATACCCCAAATACCAGGAAGTTTTACTAAAGGACAAGGAAAGGGGAATATGTGCATTCTTGTAGCTTCTTTGTAAATCATCACTTCTGGGTAGGCCTTAGTCATATTCATTCCTGGTGCTTGGCTGGATTTACATAATAAACCCCACTCCCCAGCATTTGGGCAGAGATGAAGGTCAGGCTGACAGCACTTCTGCCTTTTGGCAGAATGTGTTTCCAGCAGGTGGCTTTGCCTCCCGCCCTGGATTCAGCTGACAATTTAAAGAAATGTCCATGTGCCTTCCCAGGCGCTCTCTACACTTACCTTCTCCATGCTCCTCCCCTAATCCAACTATCTATCACTGAGTTCCCTCCCAAATATCTCCAATGTGCTGTTTAGAATTCCAGCTTCAAGGCCAATAAACCTGCTTAAACCTATACCCTCAATCTCTTCCCTGATGCTCCATCTATTTCCTGCTGTAACTGAACCCTGGCTTAAACTAGAAGATGTTTTAGGTGTCAACAATGACTGGGCAGTCTTATGAAACATTAACCACCTGTTCTGTTGGTTGCTCATTTACACACAAATATACTCGTGTCTTGGAATGTTTTGGGCCAATAAATGTCTAAAGGCTTGATGCTGGGAAAGCATAGTAAGGGCCAAGAGGTCTTGTGTTTGGTAAACATCTATGAAAAGGAGCCAGATCTCTGTGAGCAGACATGGGACCTGAGCGGTAGATAGGGTTGGAGGATTTATGAAATGACCACCTTATTCTGGTGCCATAACTGCCGCTGATTTGATTGGAATCTGCACTGACCAGAGACTAACTCGTTTTAAAAAATCTCAGAGCCGGGTCACTGGACAGGTGGGTTGAGCTGTTGTATGAAGGATTTTGAGGTAACTCCAATGACAAAAGGTGAGAGAGGCCTCCCTCAAGGGAATAACAGTTTCTGCACCCATGGTGAGAAGGAGAAGAGTGCAATTTCATTAAATCCACCCTTTCCGTGTCGGGAGCTCATTCGAGAGAAGCCACCTAATTCTAAGGCTGAGAAGAGTGGATGAGGAGTTGGAAACAGATCATATATTTTTCTCTATTTTGAATGCTTTATCTCAATGAATGGACTTATGTTTTAAAAACCTAGATATTAGGAGTGCTTACTTGACGTGGCTTTCTACAGTTGGGGAGAAAACGAAATATCCGAATAGGTGCCAAATGTCATATTTTTCTTTCTTTCAGTAGTTAGGTATAACTAGGACTATTGGTTACCTTTGTAATTATTAGACCATTTTATTTTGTATTTTATGTTTATGATGCTTTCTTGAATAAAAGTGTATCGATGCGCTCCCCACTACATGAGAAATGTAGCATGTTTTATTTCTTCCATTCATCTCTCTGCTCAGATTTTGTTCAAAGAGTTTGGAATTTCATTTTCAAATTATTAATTGTGTTTTTGTGTGTGTGATTTTTAAATTGTTAGCTTTGAACTTTTTTTTTTTTTCCCCAGAAAAGATACACATGGATTTTTTTTCTTCTAATTGTATAATATCTAAAAATGACTTTCTTTTACTCTTATGTTAAGTAGCACTTGGCTAAGTCTAAACTGGTAATGTCCTTTTCCTGTAAATTCTTCCTCCATTAATTTGCAAATGAGTATTAAATTATATATATAATATGCTTTAAAAAGTTGATATATAACAAAACTCCTACAATTGCATTATTGTCTAACTAAGAGCTAATGATTTGAAGGTGCATGGTAAAAGGTACCAGAAAGTCTTGATATTTAAAAGAACTCTGAGATGGATTATTTCATTGACCAAGGAAGTCTTTATAATACAAATAATGTTATAATTGGAATTTTTTTTTATGCCTGTGAGTTTGTAAATTTCTGTACTTCCGAACAATCTTACTTTGTATACCTGCAATTGGACTAGTGTTCTCTCTTTTCCCAAAGGTGGCCTCTGTCGTTGCTAGGTGTTTATTCCCACAAAATGAACTATGGGGATAGAACTCGGGGTCATGACCAGCGCTGTGCTAACTCCCCTTGCAGAGATCAGCTGCGGCCGCCCTCCGGAAGTGCAGCATGCGTCCCTGGTGGGGAATCACAGCTCCGGCCTGGGCAGTGTGGCTCACTACGCCTGTCAAGAGGGCTTCGAGAGCCGCGGAGGAAAGATCATGTCCGTTTGCACCGAGGAAGGCACCTGGAGAGAAAGCACTTTGACATGCACAGGTAGAGACTATTCCCCGGGGGTCCTGTTTGCTAGAAGGGAAGGGCCAGCGGAGTAAGGGACCTAAAGCGGTTCGATTGCTGCCTCACTCTGTGTGCTGCGTGTGCCTGGCTCTGCCCTTTGCCTGGGTGGGCCTCTGGCTTTAAGTTTGTCAGCTAAATCCTGGAAATTTAGAGGGTGGTTTGGGATAGAACATGTCGCGCTGCCATCTTTCGAAGCTCCTGTTAAATCACAGTGACTCCTGTCTCCTCAGCTTAGCAAGCTAACGAATGTTTCTCTCTGAACCGTTTTCTCAGGGGGCCGTGCCTAAAAGTCCTCACTTAGCCCATGTTGACAGCTTTTCAGAGAAGAGGTGATGTAAGAAAAAAATGGGTGTTTAATGTTTATTTTTATTGGTGGTAAAATACAGACAACATAAAATTTACCCTCTTACCCATTTTCTAAGTATTTTCACGTTGTTGTGCCACTTATCTCCAGAACTTTTTCATCTTCCAAAACTGAAACTCTGTACCCGTTAAGCAATGACTCCCCACTGGCCCTCCCCACAGACTCTGGCACAGCCATTCTACTTCCTGTTTCTATGAGCTTGACTAATTTCATTACCTCATATAAGCGAGACCATGTTACTTTTGTCCTTCTGAGACTGGCTTATTTCACTTAGCATAATGTCCTCCAGGTTCACCCATGCTGTCCGAAGTGACGAGATTGCCTTCTTTTTTGAAAGCGGAATAATATTCCACTTGTGTATCTATTATGTTGTATTTATCCATTGTTGCTTCCACCTCTTGGCTATTATGAATAATGCTACTATGCACATACGTGTGCAAATACCTCTTTGAGACCCTTCTTTCAACTCTTTCGGATATATACCTCCAAATAGGATTCCTGGTGAATAGGGGTTTGAGACTTCTGTTCAGGTTCTAGCAGTGCCACATATTAAGCTGTGTGCCATCCGGTAAGTCATCATTTGCCCTAACCCCGAGTTTCCTCAGCTCTAAAAGTGGGAAAATACAGTCTGCTCTCTCTGCTTCAAAGAGTTATTGAGGGGGAAGCAAATGAGATTATCTGTGGGGAGCAGTTTGAAAAGTGTAAAGCACAGTACACGTGTCAGGTCGTTACTGAAATTATTCACCTTGCTTAAAGAGGCTCTCCTGCCGAAACCCGTTTGGCTCAGTGGATAGAGCGTCGGCCTGCAGATTGAAAGGTCCCAGGTTCGATTCCGGTCAAGGGCATGTACCTTGGTTGCAGGCACATCCCCAGTGGGGGTGTGTGTGTGTGCAGGAAACAGCTGATTGATGTTTCTCATCGATGTTCCTAGCTCTCTGTCCCTCTCCCTTCCTCTCAGTAAAAAAAAAAAAAAAAAAAAAAAAAAAAAAAAAAAAAAAAAAAAAAAAAAAATCAATAAAATATATTTTTTTAAAAAGGAGGATCTCCTGAATGACAAATGCTTTATCTCACACCTGTGCCCCCAAGAAGCAGGGTGGGAAAAAGCGATGATTCTCACCATTTGTGATGGTTGGTCTGGGCGTGTAACAAATGGCTGAATGACTCTGGGAATGGATTTCTAAATGTTGACTCTCTTGGCTCCAAAGACAAAGCTTTGAAGAGTGGAAATCTCAAGATAGTTTTCACCTGGTCTCTGGCTTGACTTGCAGCAGAATTAGGATAGAATGTCCCGAGTCTCGCCCATCAAAGTTTTCCGTAGGAAATTCTAGCCAGAGAAAGCAAAGCGTGAACTGCTGGTGATTATTTGTCCATAGAGCAATAGTTCATAACCAGTTTGGGGACACAAACGTGACGAAATCTGTCCATTCAGTAGATATCCACGTGGCATACGCTACGTAGGAGGTACTTAGCCAGATGCTGCCCCTTTGGAGTTGACGGGGCAATTGGGTCAACAGACTTTTCTCCAAAGAGATGCACATACACACGTACATACGATGTTTTACAAATTCAAGGTGTCTGTGGACCTCGAGAAGCTCTGGTGTAGATGGAGAACTCAGCTCCCCTGCTGACGCCCTGTCCGTGGCATGCAGTTCCCACATTCAGTCATCTCTACCACAAGCACGGGAGGATGTAGGCCGGAGACTGCAACCACAGAAACACCAAAGGGCGGGCATGGATAACAACCCAGAGATCTCTGGGGAGGGCTCTCTCACTTGCCCAACCTGCACAGAAAAGCAGACAAGCCTGCAACTAACAACAGGGACTCCAGAATTCCAGTCTTAATGCCCATTCCAGCCTATTACAGCATTTTGAACAGCACCTCTAAGAGTTATTTGGAGAAAGTGAGGCAGCTGCCTCATGACATGCAGAATTCAACATCTGGGGATGCGTTCCTAGCCCAGAACTATCTCCAGAGTCCCTTGGTAAGAGAGCAGGGCATCGCTTCTGGACCCAGCCATTTGCTTTCTCGCTCAAGCTGCTCTGCCTCCACCACTCAGAATTCAAGGGGGGTGAGGGGGGGGGGGTACAAAGATTAGTCACTGCATGAAAAACCAGTGGGTCTGCATGGGGCATAGTAAGCTATTAATTAGCGGATGCTTGTAGGCACTTTGAAGAACAAACATGTTATGTAACAGCTAATTTTAATTACATCCTCAGCCTGCCACCTTTCACAGTGTCTGTGGCTCCAGCTGCAGCTGTTGCCATGGGGTTATTCAGGCTTTGATTTAAGGAGAAAAAAGGCATTCTCCCTGAGAGCTGTTGTCTTTCTGTGAGGAGGCCTCTAGCTCCCAGTCAAGATTGGCAACTAAATTCATTTCCCACAGATAAAGGGGGCCATTTGCATGCTGATCAATTCACAGTGCCCTGCACTTGATTACGGGCGGGCGGGGTGGGTAGGTGGGAGAGATAGTGAGGGGAGCTGGTTATCCTGGCTCTTGCTCAGCTACCCCGCCTCCCTTCTTTTCCCTTTTCCTTGTTTTTCACCCATTTCCTTTTACCTTCCCTTCTGTCCCAGTTCCCTCTGTATATTTGGTGTTTGTCTTCCTCGGTCTTCACTTTAAAAAAAATTTTTTTTTTTTTTTAATTTCAGAGAGGAAGGGAGAGGGAGAGAGAGATAGAAACATCAGTGATGAGAGAGAATCATCTATTGGCTGCCTCCTGCAAGCCCCCCGCTGGGGATGGAGCCTGCAACCCCCAGCATGTGCCCTGACCAGGAATTGAACCATAGCCTCCTGAGTCATAGGTTGATGCTCAACCATTGAGCCACTTTTGGGTTTTTCCCCCATTGTCTACTTTTCTGCCTAACCTCTGACTTCTCTCTTCCTCTGTTCTCTGTTTTCATTCCGTTTCCCCTTCTTTTTACACTGAATGTTTCATTCCAAACTGGGGGAGAAGATTCTATCTTCATTTTACCCCAGCTGTTTTTAGTTTAAAATCTTTTTGGAAGCCCTCTTTCTCTGGATCAGTAGCATGCCTCTGTCCATGTTTCTAATGGAGTGTGAACTCAAGCAAGGTGGTAAACTTTTTTTTTTTTTAAGGCTGGTTTGGACTGGAAACTCCAGACAGCTGAGAATTAGGTAACTGCTCTCGTGTCTGGAAAAACCCCAGGTGGAAGCTTGATGTGCAGTGAGTTGGTTTCCCTCAAGATCAAAGAGGTTGATTCACTTATGATAAGCCTGTCCTGCCTTTCATTCTGCACAGGTCATTTGGCTTTTTATGTTTAGAATGTGGGTTAATAATTATAAGGTTGATGCTCTTTCCTTCCAGGCTCTCAGAGGGGTAATAATATCTCTATTGGAACACAGACTGTTTATCTCTGCGATCCCTTCGGAGCCCCCCAGCCTGACTCTGGCAGCCACTCCCAACGGCCCCCGGGCCTCCTGGTCGCCTCTACTCCTTGTTTTGCTTTGTTGTTGTTTTTTTGTCCACCTTCCTCTTCAACTCAGTGATGCTCACTTGCAGTTCTGCATGTTTCTGATGGGAAAGAATCGTTGCCCAGAATAAATGGGCTCATTTATATAAGTAGCCTCAGGGCTGGGGCTTGTTTGAATATGTGCCTAACGTTTGGACCATCAAGCATTCTAGCCATCCTTGACTGCATACCAACGTACCCACCCTGACAGCGAGAGGCCTCACTGCTTGAGTTCATTTTGTCCTCAGAAAAACCCTGTGCAATGAAGTATGTTATTTTCATTTCTTAGATGAGGCATCTGAGACTCGTGAAAGTTAAACAGCTCCCACAGGATCACTCAGCACATGGCAGAATTAGGATTTGAACTCAGGTCCATTAGCCTCGAAAGCCCATGATCTCCCTCCTGTGCCAGAGTTTTCCAAGCTTGAATTTTTTGTATGCCACCCTGACAGTGTTTGCTATAACAAAAGTACTATCTGTTTAATAGTTTTCTTAGAACAGTTTATATTTAAAACTTAAATTTATCATTTAAATGTGTTGACCAAGGGCATTTTGCAATGTATTTGATATCATGAGTGTGTTATTTTTTTCTAATGCACACAAAAATTAATACAAAGCAATAACTGATTTAAGTACAACCAAAAAATCATCCTGAAGTATATAAATGCATTTTAGGAAATCACTACTCTATGCCATGTTAGTTCTACTTATTTTCTGATTCTAAAGATTAAAAAAAGAAGGAAGGAAGGAAGGAAACATAGCAGAACTCCCATCATTTAATTTATTCAAATATGCACTTATTCAAAGTAGTCACCTTGGGAAGCCATATCCTCATTTTAATGCTGCTGCCATGAACAAAATCGGTTTTATAATCCATTTGGGAATTGCCTTTGGAGTAATGTATGAGTAATATTAGGATATCAGTCATCTTACTTTTTAAAAAATATGTTTTTATTGATTTCAGAAAAAGGAAGAGAGAGCTAGAAACATCAATGAGAGAATCATTGATCCGCTGCCTCCTGCACAGCCTCCACTGGAGATGGAGCCCACAACCCCAGGCATGTGCCCTGACCAGGAATAAAATCATGACCTCCTGGTTCATGGGTTGATGCTCAACCACTGAGCCACACCGGTGGACTAATTTTAATTTTTTAAAATATAGACAAATTATGTCACCTACTGGTAGAGATGATTTTACTTAGCTGCAGGGGGTTTGATTTTAAATAGGTAAAAAGCTATGCCCTCTTCCCATCTGAACAACTTCCTAGGTCGTAACTTGGACCATTGGAAACTGTGTCACCTCAGGGAACCAAGACCCTGATATGGTGCCCCACGCTGCCAAATTCATTACATGAAATGCATGCAGAATATTGAAAAGAAGCAAAACAACTCAGAGGAATCGGTGGCTTCCTGATAGGTCAGGATTAAATGGCGTCAGTTCAAGGAGTCCCAGAAGTATCCAGGAACCTTGTGAGAATTCACGGAGTTTACCCCGGCCTGTTCCTTAGGGACGGTCCTGAGCGGTGGTGCGTGTCACTTCCCTCTGGGGACCGGCGGTGGCCTGGAAATAAGTGTGCTCCACCCGCTGGGGGCATGAGGACCCAGAACCAGATCTGACCTGTGCCGCTGCAGGGGAGAGGCCGGCCCAGCTCTGGGCCTTTTCCACCCCACACGGATAGCATGCCAGGGCAGCCAGTGGCCTGTGGGATCGACCACGGGTTGAAATTCTTACCCACACTCACCCCAAGCAGGAGTATGGGTAAGAATTTCCTCCAAGTCAGCTCACGGGCCAGGATCATTCATGATGAAGATAAATGGGGTGATAGGCCTAGGGTAGCTTGACTTGCCTGATTGGGTTTCTGAGTCAGAGCAGGAACCGTGAGCAGCAGATATTAGCTGGACAGGTCAACGAAGTCATACCCTCCAACCTGGTCGCTCGCTGTTCGGATTTTTCCAAAATCCACCGACACCTTTGTGAGCGGACTGTCTGCTTTTTCTGTTTTAGAGATAATTACAGAAATTAACGATGTGTCCGTGTTTAATGGCACCTGTGTGAGGTGGCAGACAAACCCGGGAAGAGTGACCCCTGGCATCCTATATGTGGTAAGCAAAGGGACCGCCTTTTTCCTTCCAGGGCAGGAATGGAATCCTGGGGAACACGAGGTGCCAGACTTGCTTCCCAAAGGTCCTTTCAATCTAATGGCTCTCCACTCCCATCATCCATTAAAAAGGGAACAGTTTTTTGTTTTTGTTTTTTTGTTTTGTTTTGTTTTAAGATATCTGGATTATTTTACTTCACATTTTGTTTTCGATGTGTTTGTGGACAGGGTGTATGTGTGGGGATGCGTTGATATTTGGTATCAGAGCTTGTTTCCAAGCACTTGCATGTCACTCCCCCAGCGTCAGCCTAGAAGTTGGCTGCTGACTCTGTGACAGGTGGCAGGGAGCGGGTCTCAGGCTGTGACTCTGTTGATGGCTGGACAGCTGTGTGTGGGGTAGCACTCAGACTCAGGACTCCTCATTTTATATCACTTCTTTTTAAAAAATATATATATTTTATTGAGTTTTTACAGAGAGGAAGGGAGAGGGATAGAGAGTTAGAAACATCAATGAGAGAGAAACATCGATCAGCTGCCTCCTGCACACCCCCTACTGGGGATGTGCCCGCAACCAAGGTATGTGTCCTTGACCGAAATCGAACCTGGGACCCTTGAGTCTGCAGGCCGATGCTCTAGCCACTGAGCCAAACCGGTTTCGGCTTATATCACTTCTTAGGGCCTGTTGGTTACTGGGCTGATCAGACTTTATCATCAGATACCTGAGAGCAGAGGTTTACCTGATTTCGCATGCCCCACTCCCCCTTCCCTTTCCCCCTGCACCCCACTCCTCCTCCCCCCCCCCCCCCCCCCCGCAACCCTCCTAGCCAGGAGAGCAGTGCAGTGTAAAGCAAACAGTAGGAGAAAAGGATCCGGCACTATCAAATCTCTCTTGGTCGTTTTAACTGGAGTCATGGTGGGTTCTCTTGTCTTTGCCCCTCACAAAGATACACGTGAAAGGTCACCGGGCAGACCAGATAGAACCAGCTCATGAGGAGACAGTCAACCTGACCGCAGACAGCAGTACCCCACACGTGTGCCTAGACCTGCACCAAGGCACCAACTACACCGTGACCATCTCCACTGCCCCTCCCAGACGCTCCGTGCCAGCCGTCATTGTGTTCCAGACAGCAGGTAGGTAGAAGGGAAGTCTCATTTCCTCCCAGAAAATGCGAAGCACAGGATGTAGGGGAAATATGCTTCAGAATCAACTGGTCAGGAGAGTTCAGAGTTGCTCCCTGAGATCTGTGGCCAGGAGAAGGTCCAGCAGGAGGGATTCCTATACTAGTGACGCCAGGCGCAATGTACTGTGTCTCAGCGGGGCATCTGATTAAAGTGGGAGGCATTTAAAAGAAGACAATGTGAGGTGATGATGCAGTCAGTTCTCAGTTAACCAAGGCAAGAGAGGTGGCCACATGGCTCTTTGAAATGATAGAAATCATTTCCGACTCTTGTCTGCGAGAGAAGCCTGAGACACTAACCTAGTGGCTTTACATCTTAAATGGGAACTGACCCCAGGACTGATCCGGGCTGGGTAATCATGTTGACCGTGGGCGGATGGATAGGGGTAGGCAGTCCCAGGGTGCAGGATGGTAAGTGTTGGATGAAGAGAGATATTGGCAGGAAGAAGCTTCGAGAAGTAGTAATAAACCTCATTGCATATAGTTATCACATAGATTTTTATAGAAATACTACAGGCCCGACTCCTGTTTGACATAGTACTGGAAGTACTATGCAATTAGACAAGAGGAGGAAATAAAAGGCATCCAAATTGGAAAAGAAGTAGTAAAGTTATCCTTATTTGCAAATGACATGATATTGTACATAAAAACCCCAAAAGACTCCATTAAAAAACTAATTGACTTAATAAATGAATTTGGCAATGTAGCAGGATACAAAATTAATGCCAAGAAATCCATGGCATTTCTATACACCAACAGTGAAATTATAGAAACAGAGATTAAAAAAGCAATTCCATTTACCATCGCACCAAAAAAATTAAAATACCTAGGAATAAATTTAACTAAGTAAGTAAAGGACCTATATGCGGGAAAACTACACGACACTGAAAAAAGAGATAGAGGAAGATGTAAGGAGATGGAAGAACATACCATGTTCATGGATTGGTAGAATCAACATCATCAAAATGTCCATACTTCCTAAAGCAATCTATAGGTTCAATGCACTCCCCATTAAAATACCAACGGCCTATTTCACCGACCTAGAAAGAACTCTCCAAAAGTTCATTTGGAACAATAAAAGACCCCGAATAGCCACAGCAATCCTGAGAAAGAAGGGTAAAGTAGGAAGGATCTCAATACCAGACTTCAAACTGTATTACAAAGCCACTGTTCTCAAAACAGCCTGGTACTGGCACAAGAACAGACATATAGATCAATGGAATAGAATCGAGAACCCAGATATCAACCCAAATCACTATGCTCAATTAATATTTGACAAAGGAGGCACGAATATACAATGGAGTCAAGACAGTTTCTTCAATAAATGGTGTTGGGAAAATTGGGCAGACACATGCAAAAGAATGAAACTAGATCACCAACTTACACCATTCACAAAAATAAACTCAAAATGGATACAGGACTTAAACATCAGACGGGAAACCATAAAAATACTAGAAGCATCCACAGGCAGCAAAATCTCAGACGTTTGTCTTTCCTTGTTATGCACTTTCCTTGTTATGCACTTTTGTAAAGATTTATCATTTTCTTCTAGATCCTGTATATTTAACTATTGATTTTATTTTCAGGATTATGCTAGTTCTCTTCAAATGAATTGTGAAGCTTTCCATATTTTTTATGTTCTGGAAAAGTTTATATAATTTTTGAATTATTCCCTTTCTTTAAAGTTGGACACATTTGTTCATAAGATTATTTAAGACTCACCCCTTTTGGAATATAATTCTTTGATAACTTTGTCAGTTTCTTCTATGATTAGTTGTGGTTTGTTTGTTTCTTACATTTTCTTGAGTCAATTTTTATAATATATGTTTTCCTTAAAAAGGGTCCCCATTGTTGAGCTTTAAAATATATTGGCTAGATGTCATTTGGAACATTTATTTACAACTCCTCTGGGACTAAAGGTTGTATTACCCCAGGTTATTCTTTAGTAAAAGGCGAAAGATTTATGCGATCTGAAGGGAAACCAGAGTATACCCCAGGTTATTCTTATTCCTAATTTTGTTTTTTCTCTTTTTATTTTAACTTTATTTTTTAAAACATATTTTATTGATTTTTTACAGAGAGGAAGGGAGAGGGACAGAGTGTTAGAAACATTGATGAGAGACAAACATCGATCAGCTGCCTCCTGCATACTCCCTACTGGGTATGTGCCCGAAACCAAAGTACTTGCCCTTGACCAGAATCGAACCTGGGACCCTTGAGTCCACAAGCCTGCACTTTATCCACTGAGCCAAACCGGTTAGAGCTGTTTTCTCTTTTTTAAAAAATGGATTAGTTTAGCTTGAATTGCCTGCTTTACTACTGTTCCCCACCCTTCACACACACACCGCCTCAATAAATTTAGTGTTGTTTTTTTTTCATTGTTTTTTCTTTTTTCTATCTCATTAATTTCTCCCTTATTTTAATTACTTTGTTCTGCTTTCTCTTAAATTGGTTATATTGTTCTATCCTCAAATTCTTGAATTGAATACATAATCCAACTTATTTCCATTCTTTCCTGTTTGATAATAAAAGTCTCTAATGCTTCTTTCTCCTTCCTAATTTGAGCTTGGGCAGAATTCCTTAGGTATGGATGGATACCTGTTCTCTTTATTCTTTTATGGCATGACATAATTGCTATTGTGATTTTCCCTTTGATTTAAGAATTATTTATGAGTTTGTTAATGTACGTTCTCTTTATCCTTATTGTAAAAGAACTATATAATTGCCATTTTGATTTCCCCATTGATTGAAGGATTAATTATGTGTTATGCAAGTGGTATTTTTAAAGACATTTGTACTTCATTGTTATTTCTAGTTTAATTACATTTTGGCATTCTTTCAGTGGATTTGTTGACATTTTGAGGGGGCTAACTCTTGGCTAATTTTTGTAATTTTGGCCAATTTTTGTAATTTTGTGGTTGGTGGTGGGTGGTAGAGTGTTTGCTTGTAGGTAGAGTAGACCTAGGTTTCAATGAACTCTATTAATAAGATTTTCCAGGTCTTCTGTTTGTTTACCTTTAATTTTTGTTGTTGCTTGCTTGGATTGCCATTTTTCTCAGTCCTCTTAGGAATTCTCATTTTTTTGTTTCATGCCTTTTGATATCATGATATTTATGTTCATGACTGATATCTTTATTGTAGAGTCTAACTTTTACTAGTAACAAATGGCTCACTTTATCCTGTTTAATATTGTTTGCCTTGAATTATACTTTGATTAGTAATATTGTTTTTCTTGATTTCTTTGTGCTTGATTTGTCTGATTCGCTTTACCCACTTTTGTTCTACTTAAAAGCTCCGTGGATAACATTGTTAGGAATGTATGCTAGGAGGCTGCATATGTTGAGAAACCTTTTTGAGAAAAGTGTTATTTTTTTGTAGTTAAGCAATTTACATTAGTGTTGTTTGTGATAAAAATTTCCTTTCTTCTGTCATCTTATTTATTTTATTCTTTTTTATGCTACTTTGTTATGCTCATTGTTTTCTTTTTGCTGCTCGGGGTTTCTTTTTGAATGATTCAGACAATATAGATTTTGCTTTAATTCTACAATACATATTAAAAAACAAAAATCAGCCTACTTGAATATGTATTCCTCTGATTATCAGCATTAAGATGGAAATAATGTTAACTTCTCCTTGAATAAAATGTGGATATTTGTATGCTTTATTTCCTTTTATTTCTTCTCCTCTAGCTTTTCTGATGTTATTGTTTAATACATAGAATTTTATTGCCAGCTCATTTCTGAATACTTTTAATGTGTATTGCATCTTTAAAGAGTTCATTTTTATATTGATTTATAACAATACTTATAACAATTATTTAAACAGGTATATGTTTCAACCTTACTGCATTCTAAGGTTTCATACCAAAGTCTCTCCATTTTTCTCTGTTTTATCTCTCTGCACAGTGATTTCTATCTTCTACTCCCTGAGGAATGGGATACTTTGCATACACACACACACACACACACACACACACACACACAGATTCCATTACATTTGACCTTACTTTTTATTGGATAATATTTATATTGGATAGTACTTCTCTCATAATGATCTCATCTTGAAGGATTTACTGTAAGTTGGATGATCTGGTGTCCTTTGGGGAGCAGCTATGAGAAAACTCACTGCCCTGAGCTTTATTTCTGAGCATTTTGCTGTTCTGATAGGTATTATTGTCACTCTTGAGCCAGCTCCGCGTTGCCTGGCTTCATTATGATCTTACTGCCTATGAAGGCAGGAAAGACCAAGTCTGTGCTTTTGCCAGCCCAGGCTGATGGAACCTGGAGGTTCTAGGCCTCCCCTTAGAAGGTCTCCAGATGATAATGGCTGTACGTGGGAAAGTCATATGGAGACGAGAACTATGCAGATGGCAGTTTTGCTTTATGTTCTGTTGGTGTACATAGACCACGTGTGACATTTCTTAACGTACATTCAATGCGCCTCAAAGCCATTTGCATACATGTGACAGTTTTTATTTCTAATGTCCTTAGGAAACCTGTAACATAAAAGCTGTGAAGATGAAGAAGAACGCGTGTTAGGTCTTCAGATTCTCTCTCATAACCGTATTTCCACATTTCCATTTATAACCAAGAATATTTTCTCCCAGCTAATTGCCTTGGGCTGCAAATGCCCATGACAATGACAATTCTGTGGACAGTTCTGATTTTGAGTAGAATAATTTACTGTAATCATCATTACTTCTTAGGTAGCAGAGACTCCTGCAGGAGAAATAGACATAAAAGGTGTTTATGAAAAGCTTCCCTCTGATAGACATTCAAATTTTTTCTCACTTGGAGAAAACACGCAGGCTTGTGTGGTAGGAAATTTGCTTTTCCTTGAAAATTAGCTATGGTCCTCCAGACTCTGTGAGTTCTTTATTCATTGCTAACCTCTTCTTTTGATTACATTAAGAAAATGGAGCATTGGTGGAATGAATTAGACTACCGGAGTCATGAAATTACTTTTTTCTGAATAGTGGGTGAAATTAGTCTGCTTCTGATTACTTTACTGCCCCAGGACTCATATGAGCAGGTCTCCTGAGTATTGTCTGCTGTGAGAACAAACATCTCACTAGTCACCTGCTTTCTGGTCATCTTCAGGGTTGGAAACACTGAAGAGTTCTATTCTGAGAGTTCTATTCCATGGCCTTTGCCTTTATTCACCTTTTTCCTATTCTCAGATTTTTCTGGCTATTGATATGCTTAAAACATGGCATTTTACTTATGGACTATCCAAGTGATAAGATTAACTTTCTAAAAATACCACAGCTTTATTAGTTTACTGCAATTTTTTTAAATGCATTTTTTTTTTCATTTGGTTCTCTCAATAGCCTATGATGTAAGAGATGCAAACTGGATTACTTGATTTCACAAATTAGGAAACAAATTCGGAGGGGCTAAGTGGGTTAGCTAAGGTCATGCAGTTAAGAATTTGTAGAGCCAGGACTTGAAGCCAAATGCACTGCTCTTGCTGTTAAACACCCTATTGGCTGTATTAAGATGTCCGAATTTCATTGTGATTAGCCACGATATGTTTTGCTAAGATGATGCAATCTTTTCATATGTTCTCTCTTATTTTTTAGATGATCTCTTAGAAGATGATGGAATTTTCAATGTCTCACTATTTAATGAAGCTTGTTTGAAACTGAATAGGCATTCGAGGAAAGTTGGATCAGAACAAACGTACCAAGTAAGATCTCCTATGTTATTTATTAAAGAATTGGGTCACTTAAAAGTTTGGGTGCTCTCCAAGTGAGGATTCGAAGTTTGAAACCACTCATGAAATGCACTTCTAGACAGTTTGGTTTTTGTTTCTAGTGATGGATGTGAGATGTGAGATGGATACAAGTGAGGGACTAAATTGAAGGAAGACCTTATTTGGTTACGTGCTATCATTTCCTTTGTCTGGTATTTTACATGTATTATAATTTAGTGCATTTAATAATTACAGCTTATTTTGCTATTGAGTTCACACTTGAATGTGGGTTTTTAAGAAACTTATTGCATGGCTATCGGTCCTCATTTAACTTGACTTTTTATACAGCACAAATCTCAAGTAAAATTATGAATAAGCTCAGGCAGGAACTGAGATTTGTTTTTGTTTTTTGTGCCATATTTTCTGTGCCTAGAAAATCATCTGGCAATGAGTAGACTAAGTATGAAGTTAAAATTAATTAATTAATCATTTACCGAAAGCATATCATGTATTGGGGCCTGGAAAGTCAAACTAATTATACAATTAAACAGACCTGAAGATATTTTTCCATTGATTTTTAGAGAGAGTGGAAAGGAGAGGGGGAGACAGAGAGAGAGAGACAAACATCAATGTGAGAGAGACACACCGACTGGTTGCCTCCTGCACGTGCCCCAACCAGGGCTGGGGATCGAGCCTGCAACCGAAGCACTCTTGACTGGAATAGATCACGTTACCACTGAGCAGAACAGACTAGAGTTGGTAGAAAATTATGAGTGAGGAAATTTGGGGGTTTTCTTGAGAGAGATCATCTCTAGTGGGAGTGAGCAGTGCAGACGATCAGGGTGTTGTGAGATGTTGGTGGAGCAACTCTGATGATGACACAGTCTAGGATGTGGCTGTGGTTCTGAGTCACTAAAGTTCAGTGAAAGAACTCCATAGCATTGAGCTCAAGGTACTCTGAGGCCAGGTTTTGATGACTTACGGATAAAAACATTTAAATTACACAAGAGAATGCTGGGAATTGGGGAGAGAGGGCTCTCCCATGAGTCCTGTGACAGAGTGTTGGATGACTATGGAAGAATGACAGTGATGCAGAAGGATAGGGGGGTGGGATAGCCAATGGCATGAGCATCAGAGGAAACACTAACCACATGAACACCCGGTTAAAGTAACACTGATCGTTCAAGGGATAATCACATTACATGATTTCCAGGACCCTCACATGTATTTGCCCTTATAAGTCCCTATATTATACCTGCAACTTGAGTTTGGTACTGGATGAGGTGTGATTATGTGTGTGTTTTTGTTGTTGTGTTTTTGTTTTTGTTTTTTTAACCAGAGCTCAACTAGAAAAGAAAAAGTGAAGTAACATTGCACAGTTGCTTTGAATGCATAATTTGGAGTAGTCCTCATAAGTTTAAAAACTGTTCCTTGATGCCGGGACCAGTTTGGCTCAGTGGATAGAGCATCGGCCTGCGGACTGAAAGGTCCTGGGTTCAATTCCGGTCAAGGGCATGTACCTTGGTTGTGGGCACATCCCCAGTAGGGAGTGTGCAAGAGACAGCTGGTTGATGTTTATCTCTCATCGACGTTTCTAACTCTCTGTCCCTCTCAGTTCCTCTCTGTGTAAAATCAATAAAATATATTTTTTAAAAAAAACAACAAAAAAAAAAACAACAACTGTTCCTTGAGGTTCATCTATGGATTCCTTAGAAATGAAAAGAATTTAAAATAATTTTGCCCAGCAGCTTTAGGGCAATCTCCTTCCCTGGATAGGCATTCGGGGATCCTCTTAGAATGGCCTGACATCTTGCTCATCTGAGATAAGCGAAGCTTGGTCTGTGGCTGTTTGGGGGGGAAGTTGCGTAGAGTGGGCAGGGCAGCTTTGCCAAGTCCTTCCCCAGGTGAGCATGCTGCTGCATGAAACATCCTTCTAACAACGGGGTCAGCGCAAACAGAAGAACGCTTCTTGCTCTATATGTATTTTGCTTCTGGTCTGGATAGCTGCGAGCCAACAGAAAAGGTAATGCAACACGTTCTTTTCATCCCGTGACAGTTTAAGATTCTGGGCCGAAGGTGGTATCTGAGTGATTTTTATCACACGGCATCATTTAACTTCACGACGGGGGAACGAGCTCCGGTAGTGTGTTTAGACCTGTATCCGGCGACTGATTACACGGTGAATATCACCCTGCTGGGATCGCCCGAGCAGCACTCAGTGCCAATAATGATAACAACTGCACCTACAGGTAGGTCTGCATGCCTTTCTGTCCTGTATCTCAGGACCACAGGGCGAAATATGTAAATTGTGCGATGTGGGGACCATAAAGAATGCTAGTCTGGAAGTCAAGAGACTTGGTTTGTAGTCCTAATAAGCTACCAACTTTGTCTGGGGACCAGGGTGCCTGAAACTTACCACCTCTCCCCTTCCTTCCACACAGGGGTTCTGGCTCACAGAGGGTACAGACCAGGAATGGACTGTTGTACTCAGGGCTCCCCAGCAGTGATGGATTGAGCATTCTCTGAAGCCACCTGTCTCTCACCCCAAACCTGAGCCCTAAGGGTAGTCATTATAGACAGCTAAGAACTAACTCCCAGGGGATCAGAAACGTGAGATGCACTATGTCTGCACTGGCAGGACGGAGAGGCCGCCTGAGCAGACCGTGTGTGAGCGCAGGAACCGCCATAGAGAACAGTGGCCTAATGAAGGTCAGATTCCTTAGAAAGGCCCGGAGCCTTGTGAGGATGCCACAGGGAGGCCAGCTCTGTCAACTCCACAGCTCCCCCTGGTGGGAAGAGACACAGAAGTCTCTATAAGGTCTTTTGTTTTTACATCTACTGTGGTTTCCTAGACAAATTTGTGGCCAACCGGGTGGAGAGGCTGCCCCCTTGGAAGGTAAACAGGAGAAGAGGATCCTGCTCCTGTCTTCCTGAGGTCTCCCTCATACTCACTGCAGCTCTTAGTGGGAAGAAATTAACCAAAGAACTTATATGCATATACGCATAATCCTTGGGCAGAGACAATAGTGCCATGAAGGCCTGAGGTGGGTGGGAACCTGGTGGAGTGGGGCAATGTGGGGGTATGGGGGACATTTGTAATATTCTCAACAAGAAAGATTTTTTAAAAGGAAAAAGAAAACAAAACCCCAGCCAGCTTAGCTCAGTAGTTGAGTATGGACCTTTGAACCAGGTGGTCATGGTTCAATTCCTGGCCAGATCATATACCCAGGTTGTGGGCTCAATCCCCAGTGTGGGGTGTGCAGGAGGCAGTCGATCAATGATTCTCGCTTATCATTGATGTTTCTATCTCTTGCTTCTTATCCTGAAATAAAAAAGATTGCTTGTCAGATATAAGTATATTTAATGTATAAATTAATTAAAAAGGGGAAACAAAGAATGATAATATCCACATTCCACACTAGAGGTCCTGACTTAATCTGTGTTGAGAAAGCCACTGTCACACACAGCATTCTACGAATGTGCCCAACAATAAGAAAAGCAGGTTCTTTCACCACAGCTCAGGCATTCACTGTGAATTAAAACCAAAAGGAGTGGGGGATAGAGCATTCTTCTCTCTATTCCCTGGTAGAAAACCCTGAGGGTGGTTTATCATGTAAGTTTTGAATAGCATGCATCCTTTGAGCTCTATGGTGCCCTTATAAAATATCCCCCATGGCTGATTCTTATTTACAGAATTGAAGTCCAAACAAAAGATAGCCAAAGGCCACAATTAATTTAATGTTGTTTCTCACATTTCCCCACAAAATGATAAATATTAGAACTGTTCTGTGTTGAAGGAGTTATGTCTTAAGTCTGCCTACTTGTCTTACAAACCATTAGCCTGAGAAATTCATACTTGCAGATGATCAAGCCAGAAACTGGCTTGGGATATCCAATCATTTATAATATGTCCAAAACAGGGAAAGTAATTTAAAAAGAAAAAAAGAAAAAGATAGTGATATTGTATATCCAGCTAGGTAGGACCATGCTCATGGGGTAAATAAAGAATTCATGTACATATTGTCTGTGACTGCTTTTGTGCTACGAAGGCAGAGTTGAGTGGTTGTGACAGAGCTGATGGCCCAGAAAGCCTGAAATATTTCCTAACTGACTCTGTAGAAAAGAAGTTGCTGACTCCTGCTCTGAGTCATTAATGTTTGCTTTCATATTTATTATGTCCTTTCTTATGCTTTTCTTCCTCCCTCCTCCCTGCCTCCCTCAGTCCCTCCCTCTCTTCCTTCCTTTCTTCCTTCCTTATTTATTTCTTTGAGTGGAGATGCTAAGGATTTTTCCTTAAAGTCTAATAGTTTTACTTGGCTTGATTGTTCTGGGTGATATTTCTCAGGTATCAGGTAGGCCCTTTCAGTATTTATATTTCTAATTTGTGTAAAGTTATCTTGGATTATAGTTTTTTTAAATATATATATTTTTTATTGATATTTTTTTTCAGAGAGGAAGGGAGAGGGATAGAGAGTTAGAAACATTGATGAGAGAGAAACATCAATCAGCTGCCTCCTGCACACCCCATTCTGGGTATGTGTGCGCATCCAAGGTACATGCCCTTGACTGGACTCGAACCTGGGACCCTTGAGTCTGCAGGCCGACACTATCCACTGAGCCAAACCAGTTAGGGCTGGATTATAGTTTTAAATGTTAACTGTTTCAATGTTTTTCTTCTTTAGAGACTTTAATTATACATTTGTTGGATCTTTGTCTATATTACATTTCAATTGCCTATTAAATGTTTTTACTTCTTTTTAATCTCATTTTAATTCTTTCTTTAAGTTGGAGTTTTAGAGAGAGGAAAGGGTGTGAGGAGAGAAGGATGTAAGCCACAACCTGGGTATATGCCCTGATCGAGAATCTAACCTGCCACCCCTTGGTGCACAGGACCACGCTCCAACCAACCGAGCCAAACCAGCCTGGTGCTATTTGAAATGTTTTGATTAAAATTTCTTCTTAATGTCTATTAATTCCTTAGTCATAATTGGTAATTAAAAGGATTAATAAGATTTCTAAGTTAAGAGTGCCCTCTTCTGTCATTGAGTGAAATGCAGTTTCTTTAGAGGATACTTTTGTTGTGTTATTATTATTTTTTTGTGTGTGTGAGAGGTGGAGAAAAATTGTGTATTCTATTCAAGGATTCTCTTTTGCCTTGCAGAATCTTGCGTTTCCCTCTGAGTTCTTTTCCCCCATCATCCTGTAGTCTCCCAAGGATATCAAGTCCTTTTTTTTAATTCTCTCCTTTCCCAGAAGCATTACCTTTCTCATCTCTGGAGTCTCATAGACTTGTGAGACTGAATGAGTTATGGAGAACCAGCACAATTCCTAATACACAATAAGCATCTACCAAATGTTAATTATTGCTTAAATTTACCTTATGACATTTGTTATGCACTCTCTTCTATTTTTGTTATACCGATAGAGGGAGTAACTCTTCTCCTAGATGAAATACATACTAAGGGCAGAAACTATGTCTTATTCAGAGCACCTCCGTTCCATTGGGTTGATATGATCTGAGGTGCTTGTAATTGAGGCATTTGCAAGGTACTAAGAGAATGCAGAGGCAATAACAATTGATTTTGCCCAGAGTTGCTCTCCCGCATTCCTGTGAGCAGGAGGAATTACAGACCCACCACTACCATATCATTACGTGTGCATACCCAACACCATGTGGGAGTCTAATGTGATCTTATCGTTATGGATAACTATTTTTCACTGATTTGAAATTTCACTATTTGTAATTTCTCTTGCATACATACATTGATTTTTGAGTTCTATTCTGTTTCATCTATCGATTTATTTATTTATTTATAAATATATTTTTATACTTAAAAATATATTTTTTATTCATATCAAAGAGGAAGGGAGAGAGAGAGAGATAGAAACATCCATGATGAGAGAGAATCGTTGATTGGCTGTCTCCTTGCATGCACCCTACTAGGGATTGAGCCCACAAACCAGGCATGCCCCCTTGACTGGAATCGAACCAGGAGCCCTTCAGTCCACAGGCTGATGCTCTACCCACTAGGTAGAGCCAAACCGGCTAGGGCTTTATTTATTTATTTCAGAGAGAGAGAAAGAGAGCTTAAATCTGAATGGGGGATTAAACCCACAACCTTAGTATATTGGGATGATGCTCTAACCAACTGAACTATCCAACCAGGGATGTTCATGGTGTCTTCTCTTGTGAATAGGGATCTTTTAGTTTTTCCATTGTTTTTTATTTGGTGTTTTACTTTCTGATTGCTGGTATAAGTTACTGCAAATTTTGTGGCTTAAAACAATACAAACTTACTGTCTTATGGAAAGGGGAAAATCCACTTCTTTACCCTTTCCAGTTTCCAGAGCCTGCCTACATTCCTGGTGGAATCCTCCATCTTTGAAGCTCATCAGTTTAACCTCTACTTTTGTCCACAAATCTTTTTCTAACCCAGATTTTTAAAAATATTTTTAAAAAATTATTTCAGAGAAGAAGGGAGAGAGCAAGAGAGATAGAAACATTAATGATGAGAGAATCACTGATTGGCTGCCTCCTGCACACCCTCTCGTGGGGATCAAACCTGAAACTCGGGCATGTGCCCTTGACCAGAATCGAACCTGAGACTCTTCAGCCTGTGGACTGAGGGGTCCCAGGTTCAATTCCGGTCAAGGGCATGTACTTTGGTTGCGGGCACATCCCCAGGGGGGATGTGCTTGAGGCAGCTAATTGATATTTCTCTCTCATCGATGTTTCTAACTCTCAATCCCTCTCCCTTCCTCTCTGTAAAAAAAAAAATAAATTAATTAAAAAAAAAATATATATATATATATATATAGAGAGAGAGAGAGAGAGTGAGAGAAAAGTCCACTTGAGAGAGAAACATTGATTGGCTGTCTCTTGCACGCCCCCTACTGGGAATTGAGTCTGAAACCTGAACATATGCCCTGACCTGGATTTGAACTGGAGACCTTCTGGTGTACAGGATGGTGCTCAACCAACTGAGCCACACCAACCAGTTACTCTGATTTTCTTGTCTTCCTCTTATCAGGACCCTTGTCACTGCATTGGGCTTATGTGACTAATCCAGGAAAATCTCCCTATCTTAATCACATTTACAAATTCGAGGGACCAGAATATGGACATCTTTGGGGACCATTATTCAGCCTACCATACTTGTTCTTGCAGCTATATAAGAAGCTATTAGATTTCTATGTTCTTGTGGTTGTGTGCACTTTGCCAAACTCCTATTATTTGTTTTTCTGTTTTCAAGCCATTTTATATATTTTTTCCAGTTGAGTCTCTTAGATTTACTGGCATTTGCGTCATTTGTTCTCTTTCTTACTGGTATTTATAGCTAATTTTTTTCTTGCCTCTTTCTGATTGTCTAGAATCTTCTGACTAATGCTAACTAATAGTTATGAGACCATGCATCCTTGTATTGTTCTTAACTTAGAAATTGCTTCATTGTTTTACTGAGTATGTTTTATAAGCATGGTGGCTTCTAATAAACACTTTTAAATTAAGGAGTTTCTATCAAATGAAATTCTAGTTTACTAAGATTTTTAGATAGGAATGTATTAATCTTAATTATTAAATGTATTAATCATTGTAATTATAAAAATAACCATATGTTATTTTCTCTTTTGATCTATTAACAGCTTTCCCAATAATGATCATCTCTGTATTCCCAGAATAAATCTCTCTTGTTGATCATAATATATTGTACTTTGAATTTACTGCCTATTCGCTAGTGTTTTATTTTGGATTTTTGTATTTATAGTAATAAGTGAGTTTGGCATAGTGTGTTCAGTGATTGGTTGTGTCATCCTTGTACCGTTTGGGTGTGTGATTATAATCATAGTGAATGAACGGGGAAACTTTCCACCTTTTTGTATAGCCTGAAACTGATTAACTAGTAGTGGAGTTATTTCATTTTTGTATGTTACATCAGTGTGAGGTTCCTTGGGCCATTACTACTTATCTCTAAAACCACCTTCTATATCCAGAGGTATGTTACCCTGAATCATCTATACCTTCTTACTTACTCTGTCTTACAGCATTTAGAGGAGAGCATGTGACCTGCAGGACAGGTTTCCTCTGGGCAAAGCCATCCAATCCATAAAGAACTCTCACATTGACCAACTTGCCTTCATTCGTAGGACCCTGTTGGGCCCGGGACTTACACATAAAGGCTTGGCTCCCATGAGACTTCTTTTTCAGATGCTTTGGGAGTAGTCTTTATCACTTCTTCATTATCCCAGCTTCCTATGAAACTTCTTAGCAAGTCTGCGCGCGCTCTCTCTCTCTCTATCTCTCTCTCTCTCTCTCTCTCCCTCTTTCCCTCTCTTTTTCTCTCTCTCTCTTCGGTCTAGGGCCAGGGATAATTATTGAAGGCGGTAGAGTTTTGAAAAGTAGTCTTTATTTTAAAAAGCTGGGGGTGGAGGTTGCTTCTTGGTTATACTGTACTAAATCTGAACTAACTTTGGACTGATTACCATGAAGCAGAGCAGAGGCCAACAAGTACTTTGATCATAAGAGATGAGGAAGCCCAGCCAATAGAAGCCAAGCCCCTTCCCCTTTCCATCATGTAATGTCTGACTGCTTAAGATAGGGACGTTCAGTCCCTCACAGTTCTGGGCTGAAATGTTGCCCTCAGTTCAGAATTGCAAACTGATGCTTATTTGTGCAAATGATGTTGTCCAAGGTGGGTACAATGAGTTGCTGGTTTAACTTTAGATAAACCAAGGGAGTTTGCAGAATAATTAGATTTTAAATAGTTGTGTTTTTTAAATATTGCATTTAAAAATATATATATGTTTTTATTTTATTTTATTGATTTTAGAGAAAGAAAGGGAGAGAGAGAAAATCATTGATCGGCTGCTTCCTGCACACCCCCCTACTGGGGATCGAGCCCACAACCTGGGATATGTACCCTGATTAGGAATGAACCATGACCTCCTGGTTCATAGCTCAACCACTGAGTCATAGCAGCCGGGCAGATTTAAATAATTTTTAAGAGGGATCCTCTGATTGGGCACCTTGTAATCCTACATCTTTCATTAGGGCTGATTTTACATAAATATAAAAGTGTGTTACTATCACTCATTTGTAAATTAAAACACTGCTGAAATCATTCTATGTAAATGCTTATCCTTGGAAAATGAAAAGGTAGTATTTTTGTACAGGGCGTCCATTGATTTCTCCTTCTTTTCTCCCTGAAGTTAAACAGACCATCAGCAATGCTTCAATATTTAATGAAACCTGCTTGAGATGGAGAAACACGAAGACAGCAGGCAGAAAGGAAATGTATTTAGTGAGTTACTGAAAGTTACTCTATTGATGGGTGTTTGGGTTGTGTGGGAGGTTTAAAAAAATATCAAAGCACCCCAAATTCTGCTTACTTAGCTGCCATTGTGAATAGGATAATTATAAGTGACAGTTACAACCAGAAGCAATAAAATGAGCACTTTTGCTGCGTTTTTGACAAGAGTGACCTTGGGGATGGATGAGAAAGCCAGGAGAGGTGATATGGGTGTGAGCACGTAGGTGTGAGCACGTAGCCTGGAGCAGGGCTGATGTGCAGGCAGATCCGAGGAGGCATCCAAAGGCTTTTGCATGTGTGTGTCTCTCCACACCAGTGTCCCCGACAAGGGTCTGTATGTGCTGCCCAGAGAGGCCAGGGGGTCCTTGGAGCTAGATGTGGTTGTCGGTAAGAAAGTGAAAGGTCATGGGGTGAGCTGTTATTAAAAGGAATTAAGTAGAGGGAAGCATGCGTGAGGATTGGCACAGGCACTGGAATGTTACAGGACAGTATAGGGAATGTCAGGAAGGGGTGGGCAGAGGAGAAAAATCCTTCCCAGGTTTCACCAGACCAGCTCAGGGTATCCCAATTCACGTCCTGCTGTGGAGAAGCCCTACTTCAGACTTTTATTGTTGTTAATCCTTTCCTGAGGATATTTTTCCCATTGATTTTTTAGAGAGTGGAAGGAAGGGAGAGAGGGAGGAAGGGAGGGAGGGAGAGAGAGACAAAGACATTGATGTGAGAGAGGAGATACATCAATTGGTTGCTTCCCTCATGCGCCCTGACCTGGGCCTGGAATCGAACCTGCATCCCAGGGTGCCCTTGACTAGGACTCAGTCCCGAAACCCTCAGGTCCATGGGCCGATGGTTCTAACTGCTGAGCCACGTCAGCCAGGGCCTTATGTCAGATTCTTAATTGTCTTTCTAGGGAAATGATCTTTGGCTTTGCTTCTAAACTTTTGCCAATGCACTTCCACGTTGAACTATGAATCGTGGATGTGAGAACAAGAAAGAGAAAGTTGCCAGTGTTTTTCCCTCGACCTTTTGTGCATTTTGATATAAAAAAAAATACATTTATTACACTGATAATATTGCAACTACAATATTTGTGGTGTGGCAACTCTAATCTTTACTTATTATTGCATTTCGCATTTTGAAGGAACTTTAGAGTGAAGAGCAAGAGAGTTCATGAGAAAGATAAAGATCTAGCCCTTCAAGCTCGTGATTCACCCGTGAACTTCTGTATGTTCTAGCTCCACATTCAGGGCCAGAGATGGTATCAGAAGGAGTTTGCCCAGGAAATCACCTTTAATATCACTACCAGCAGCCAGGCTCCGGAGATGTGCTTGGACCTGCGTCCCGGTACCAACTACAGTGTCAACATTGGTGCTTGGTCTTCTGTCCTTCCTGAGGTCATCTCCCTAACAACCCAGATAACAGGTACATGTCAAATAAAGGTACTGGGATGCACAGGGTCACCACGGAGCTGTGGCTAGGCCTGGAGAAAGGGGAACAGTATTTCTTTTTATCATTATGGGATGAACTTTAAGAAAGAGAGAACGAAGGACATGGAAATGGAGAGGGTGCTAAGAGGCCTCTGTGTAACTGTTTTATTTCTTACAAAGGAATCTGAAACAAAATGTTACCATTGGTTAAATTTTGGGTAGTGTGTACCTGAGTGTTGGTTCAATTCCTTCTGTGTTTGTGATTATGGCCACCAGGGAGCACTGGTGAGCTGCTTGAAGGGCTAGATCTTCAGCATATTTTCCAACTCTACCCTACTTTAAAGAATTTGCAATTTTAAAAAAAAGTGTAAAAATTCAAGCTGTTAAGATCTCATGAAAGGGGGTGAAGGATAGCGGCGGCGGGGGGGGGGGGTATGGGGTGGGGGGGGGAGAGACCCCAATCCCTTTTATAAAAGAGGAAAAAAGGGAACTTTATATGTTGATATGAAGAGGTACGCCTGCCTAAGATGTGGCTTTATTTTAGTAAAATTATGAACTTTTGAATTTTACCAGAAATGTTAAGCAATTTGGGTCTGAAAAATGCAAAGCAGCTGATTTCCCAGAAGAAAAGTGAGTGAATTTTCCTTCTGAGTGTCTTACATTAAACAAATTTTTGCTGATGGGAATAGAATGAAAACCAGCGCCCCAGATACACTGTAGTACTGCGGACTTCAGCAGAGGTCTGGGGATCTAGGAATGCGGAAGGACAGGGGCACGTGTTGGCAGTGAGAGAGGGTGAGAGGGGCTGAGGAGGTGCAAATCCGTTTGGTGGCTTTTAGAAAATGTGAATGGGAAAGTTTCTCTATATCAGAAGAATGAATATATATATAATATGAATATATAATATATATAATATATATAATATATATTATATATATAATATATTGTTGTTGTTTAGAGGCACGTGTAGTTGTTGAAGCTATGGCTTTGTTTCAGAAACATGTAGTTGTTTAGAGGCACATGTAGTTGTTGAAGCTATGGCTTTGTTTCAGAAACATCATGGACATTTGAATTTGACCAGAAATGTCAGGCAAGGAAGGGGATTGGCCCTGGAAAATGCAGCAGCTGATTTCCCAGAAGAAAAGTGAATGGGATTTCCCTTCTGAGTGTCTTACATTAAACTAAATCTCACCGATGGGAACTCCGAGGAACCCAGAACCAGGGTTTCTGTGGGACAGAGGAGTGGGGGAGGGGCACGCTGCAACTTAACAATTTAATTCAGCCGACAGTTATTGATTGGTTATATACAAAGACCCAGGCTAAGTGCTGATGGAAAAAAAAAAAAAATTGTTCCTTCTTGCTGGGAGCCAAGTCTCATAAATTTTATTGATGGGATGATGCAGCTAGCCTTGTGATATCTGATGACTTATGGTGTAAGCTGCCAGTTCTATTGCCATCAATTTCAATTGATCCTGTCTTGAGGGGGTAGCATGATCTCTCTGGGGTGGTAAGGATGAGGAAAGAATGACTGTGGCGTCTTTATGCATATTTATTTATGTGCATTAATTCCTTGCATTTACTTGAAGTTTTCATAGTATAATGCTGGAACTTTTGTTTGTTTTTTGTACAAATAAATGTTTCTCCTTTTTTGGTTCTTTTCGTTTATTTTGGTGGGTTTTAGAGAGGAATTTGCCCTTACATTACCTCTTTTCTCTATGGATTTTAATAGTTTGCCTACATGAATGAGATTAATCTTTTGTTCAAAAAGGTTTGAAAAGGTTATTTACACGTCAGTTTTCTTTTCAATATTCTTTTGGACATTTAGACATTTTAAAATTTTCATGTGATCAATTCCATTGATTCCTTTGTGGTTTCTGCCTCTGGTCATGCCAAGAAAAGCCTTCCCTACCCTGAAATCAGATCAATCCTTGTTTTCTAGTGCTTCTTAAAATCTTTGCTTTTCCCGGGTAAACCTAGATCCATTTGGAATTGGTTTGGATGTATGGTGTACGGCTAACTTCACATGGTAGTACCCCCCCCCCCCAAATGATAAGCTAGTTTCCTGTCACCTCTGGGAAGACTATTCATGTCACACATTATTTATTCTCATTCATTTATTTTTTCATGTCACACATTGATTTATTTTCATTCATTTATTTGGGACTCTTATCTTTTTATTTTAAAAAAATCCTCCCCTCCCAACCCCCCCATTTATTTGGGTCTCTTTCAAGACTGTCTCAGCTCCTTCCATTCCTTTGCCTGCCCTGTGCTTAAACCTTACTATTTCAATTATTGTGATTTTAGAATATATTTACTATTTTCCAGGTCAAGGCCTCCTTCATTGCTGTCCTCCACACTCTTTAAAGTCCTCTCACAGGGCAGCCCCAGATTCTCCTCTACTCCTGGGAGGGGCTGGATGTTGTCAACAGCGGGAATGGCTGTGAGGGTCGCCTTCTGGTCCTCCCCCCTTACACACTTCAGAGGGAAGAACTGCGCTCTGCAGACACCACCCATTTCTTGCCTGGAACCCGATCGGGTTTAAGTCAGCCGTGAGGCTAACGGAGAGGAGAACAGACCTGCCAAGCACAGCAGCTGGGGGGATGGGAAACAGGACCTTGGGAGATACGGCTAGACGTTAACGTTATTTCACCCCGAAAGGTGGCTGAGGAAGAGCAGAGCGGGCGTGATGAAGTTCAGGCCTGTCCCTTAGGGAGGTGAGGCGGGCTGTAGAAGTCTCAGGCGGGAAGGCCTAGCGCAGGCCCAGCAGAAAGCACGTGGGGATGGAGTCAGCCTGCTGGTGGTGGCACATTTAGGGCTGAAGACCCAGCACTGGCCGAGGCCCCAGCCTTGGAGGGCTTTCTGCTCGGCTGTGGGTGCGCCTGCGCCTTCGCAGAGCTGAGCGAGCGCTTTGTTCTGTTGTTACCGAGGCGGGGGGGGGGGGGGGGGGGGGGGGCGGTGAGAAAGGGAGAAAAAGGTTTGAAAAGGTTGGGAGGACTGAGTTTTTCATCCCCGGAAAGATCAGACAGAGGAATAACTAAAAAGAGCCTCTGAGGGTTCTCACATAGAAGAGTTCATCTCCCTCTGGGCTGAAAACAGGAAATGTGTGATAAAAACCACTTCACTTTACCGAGACGCCGAAACAGCACAGGCAAAAGGCATCTCAGCGGCAGCGAGGGGGCCGGGCGCAGAAAGCCTCAACGGAAGGGGCACGTTCCGGTGGGGCCGGGGCCGGGGCCGGGGCTTTGCAAACTGCCGGCCCCTCTCCGGGGCCTCACCCGGAGCCCAGCTGGTCTCTCGGGAGTGTCAGGACGGACTCTCTGTCTGGATGCCTCTTAGAAGCATCCCAGACCTTCAGGCCCTTTGTGTGAGGCCCTGATCGGGAGCAGGGGCTGTTCCAGGTCGCCTCCTGGGGTCCCTGGCAAATCCACAGGTTTCATGCATAATCCATGTGACCACACCGGGCGACACTGGAAGAAATTCCAGATTTAGCGCTGAGTAAAAAAGCTACAGGGGACTCTCACTCTTCCATGTGGTCCTAGAGGCCTGGGTTACCCAGTGATTCCCTCTGGGCCCATCTTTTCTCAGATGCACCTGAACCGTCCCCCCAAATAGGTGTAGCCTCTCCTGCCGATGACTGACTCCATGCCACCGCCACAGTGTGCTCCTGAGCGCTGGACCTGTATTTCTACACGAGGCCGGGAAGCAGCCAGATGTGTGTTTCCAGCTGGCCGCGGGACAATTCCACGGGCGCGTGGGACTTCACAGGGCTAATAGTGAGCTGCTTCTGAACTTTCCCCTTGGACCTTAATGAAGGTCATCACCACTGACTCAGAGTCCGAAACCCAAGCCCAGATTCCTCCCCCTTCCTTACTTTCCACCACTTTCTGTTCCATCTCTTCCACCACTTCCTGTTCCATCTCTTCCACCACTTCCTGTTCCATCTCTTCCACCACTTCCTGTTCCATCGCTCCCCATATGGACCTCTTCTTCAGTCTCCGTGCCACCACTTGCCTCACACCTCAAGCACTGCTCACCTAGATTTTAGGTGGCCTGTACCCATGCTCTTTCCCAAGTCATTTCCCAATAAGCCATCTACATTGTACTTCTAAAATATGCATCTGCTAAGAATCTTTTTTTTTTTTTTTTAATTTCAGAGAGGAAGGGAGAAGAAGGGAGATATAGAGACATCAATGATGAGAGAGCATCACTGATTGGCTGCCTCCTGCACACCCCGAGGACGGAGCCCACAACCCAGGCATGTGCCTTGACTGGGAATCGAACCGTGACCTCCAGGTTCATAGGTCTACGCTCAACTACTGAGTCACGCCCGCGTCTGCTAAGAATCTTTAAAAGACTTCTTATTTCTAGGACCTTAGCTCTGACCTCCACCCACACCTCTTACTTTATGGCCTGCCTCTTCCCAGTTGGACTCATCCTTGCCATCCTGAAGTGCTGCCCGCACGCTCTCACCTCCTGCTCCTGCAGATAGCTGTTTCTGGGCGCCATCGGCTCCCTCCTCCCCTCACCCAGGCGTGCGACTTTCTCACAGCTTTAAGCCTCTTGTGATTACAAAATTGTCTCTACTATTTTCCATAGAGCTTTTAAAACTGTCTAAGAAGGTCTGCATTTGTATTTATTAAAATTCGGAGTGAGAATTTCTACCTCAAAGCTATATTCTAATTGGGTAGAGTCATTTCCCAATAAGCCTGGTCCTTGATTTCATTGTGGCAGAGTTTAGGGCCAGAAGCGGGGGACACTCATATTTTATTCCTTCTCTTTCTCTCTTTCTCTCTCTGTCTGTAAATCTCATTTTCTCGATAGCATTGTTGAGAAGATTAAATGAGATGAGGCATGTACAGGACACATCTAGTGCATTCGGTTAGTGTCCAATACATCCGCAAGGCAGAATGGCAGCCGGTACATGAATGTAGCTTCTGGTTAAATGATAAAACGCCCGTGTCAGACAATTAGTATATTCTTCTCCCAGTGGAAAATCCATTTCAGGACTTTGATTGCCGGAGAGAGCAAAATAAAGACGGAGAACTGTGTGATTGTAAAGGATCTAGAAGTCTAATGTGCTGGTCTTCTCCACCAAATAGGGACCTGCCCACACAGTGAACGATAATGCCCAGGGTATCCACCCTCTGCCAGGGCTGGGGTATCGCTTCTCACTTTATTCTGGTAAAATGTATGTAACATAAAATGTACTACTGTAACCATTTTCCAGTACACAGTTTATTGGCATTCAGTACATTTACGGTGTTATCACCATTACCTGTTTCTAAAATGTTTTTATCACCCCAAACAGAAACTCTGTTGACCAATAAGCAGTAACTTCACATTCCCTGTCCCAGACTCCTCAGTCCTTGGCAACTTCTTTTTTTAAAATATATTTTATTGATTTTGTACAGAGAGGAAGGGAGAGAGATAGCGAGTTAGAAACATCGACGAGAGAGAGTCATCGATCAGCTGCCTTTTGCACACCCCCTACAGGAGATGTGCCTGCAACCAAGGTACATGCCCTTGACCGGAATCAAACCCGGGACCCTTCAGTCCCCAAGCCGACGCTCTATCCATTGAGCCAAACCGGTTTCGGCAGTCCTTGGCAACTTCTAATCTACATCCCTGTGTCTATGGATTCGTGCTGTTATTACTATTTCACAGAAGAGAAATCATACAATATTTGTCCTTTTGTGTCCGGCTTATTCCACTTAGGGTAAATGTTTTCAAGATGCATCCATGTTGTAGCATGCATCCGAATATGCTCATCACTTCCTACGTTAAGCCTTCCCTTTGGATGGCCCCATGAGGACCCCTTTATTCCTGCTTCTACTTATTCTGATCGTACTCTTTTCTTCTTTTCAACATGTTTTCAGAGCCTCCCCTCCCGGAAGTAGATTTTTTCACTGTGCACAGAGGGCCTCTTCCGCGCCTGAAGCTGAGGAAAGCCAAGGAAAGCAACGGGCCTATCAGGTCAGTAGCAGCCCCCTTTTCCAGGGCCGCCGGGAATCCTCAGGGAGCACTTAGGAGTCTTTGGGTGGCAGCACTTGAACAGTTGGGTGCAGACTGGACTCTTAATTTCAACCAGTCCCCTTCCAAACAGATACAGAGACTTCCAAAGGACCGGAGACCAGCATTTAGGCAGCGTCGTAGGTCAAGGAATTAAGTCCATTTCTTTGATCATTGGACAAGCAGTAGTAGAGGGTTTGGGACATGTCAGGCATTAACCCCTGCCCTCACATCTCCACGGATATCTGTTAGTGGTGATGAATCAGGAGCATCATTACATTTATCAAAACCAGAACATATTTCCCTTCATTGAAGGATGGGTGGCTTCTGAAAAGGTCATTTGGATAATTCTTTTAACTCACTCGTGGATTGAGTTATGGGCGAAATACCACATAGTTAATGACTGCTTCTGGAATCCCAGATAGTAGCAGGGTGGAATTAATTTACCTCGGTTGGATGACTACATTGTGTTCAATTAAGCATTTTATTTACAAAGGTCATGATAGGGTCACGAAAGCAGAATTATCCCCTTTTTAAGAGAGGAAGATAGAGGTTTGCCTGGAGAGAAGAGCAACTACCTCACAGGCGTAAATCAAGGAGATGACAATACTTGGGCACGCTTGACCTAACTGACGTTGCTTTATCTCTCTTGACCTGTCAGTTCAGTCTAAGCATGAGATACTATTGATATTAAAAAAAAAAAAAAAAAAAAAAAAAAGAACACTTAGGGACACGTGTGTCCATTTATAATGAAACTTAGGCTTCTTCTGTCTTCCCATTAGTTTACTATTTCCAATAAATGCTCAAAGGTCTTTCCAGGGATGGCTATTGCCTGAATTGTTCTGTTTCTTGATTCCTGACAAGTGACTGGGATGCACTGTAATTCTGTTGTTATAAACGCAACAGAAGTCGTGACATCACTATCTGAGAGCGTTTGCCAGAGAAAACGTGATATTTGGAACAAACAATGATGCCAGGCAAAAAGAAAAGCCGAATGACAGTTTACCCTCCTGGCTTGTGTCTTCCAAGCAGGAAGTGGAGATCTGTGAGTCATTCAAAGGAGGGTGGTGATGAGAAAGAGGGGAAAAGTGCTTCCAGAACAGTCCTGTTCCAACAGTCACAGCTGCTCCCCTGATATCATCAGGGCTAGTTACCAGCAGGCCAGTAGGGTGGCGTCCTCCGCCGGACAGCTGTGTCTGATCTGAGCTGGGGGTAGCAGCTCTGCCAGCGTGTGAGGCAGGCCTGGGTCTGCTTTGTGCGTTACTGATAAAGGGCCGCGGCTTGGGGCGCATGGCGGATCAGGGGCTCTGGGACTGAGGCTTTCTTCCTTGGCTGGGTGACCTGGGGCAGATGATGTGGCCCGTTCCTGGGCTCTCTCAATGGTGGCGCCTCCCACGCTTGACAGATTACAGGAGTCACCTGGATGGCGTTAGCAGCAAGACAAATTCTCAGTCAACTCCTGGAGATTTGTTTAATCTTAACCCAAGGATATTTTTCCCCATTGATCATTGGAGAGTGAGTGGGAGGGAGGATGGAGGTAGGAAGGGGGGAGGGGGGGAGAGGAAACATCAATGTGAGAGAGACACATCAACTGGTTGCCTCCTGTATGCACCCCAATCAATCAGGACTGGGGACCAAACTTGCAACTGAGGTATGTGCTCTTGACTAGGAATTGAACCTGAGACCCTTTGGCCCGCTGGCCAATGCTCTGCCCATTGAGCAAAGGGCCAGGGAAACTCCTGGAGACTTGGTCCAGTAGTTCTGGCACTGGGGCTAGACATTTGTCAATTATCAAGCAGTTTGGGTGATTATGGTCATGCTAACTTTCTGCCACACGAATACTGTGGCGCCTTCAGTGGACAATGCACCGATAGTTCAGGTGAACCTTGACTTTGCCCTTGAGCACCACCTATGTGGAGAGAAGAGAGGGATCTGAAGATACGCTTCTGGGCAGGATGGAGCTGCTGCCACTTTTACTTTCTTCCCCGCAGCCATGATTCACCGGGAAACCTTGACGTCCGCAGGAAAGGGTGTGTGACAGGTGCTTCCTTGTGGGCAGGGAGTGCCAAGTAAATGCTCACTGGTGATGACAGTGACAGCTCACTGCCCTGCAGGCGTTAGCTTGTCCCTTTCGTAGAAAACACTTCACCCGAGAGTAAACCAACACCTTGTGGAAATCAGGGCCCTGCGGACACCTCTGCTGTTTGGAATGGAGACTCTCCAAACCAGCACCTGCTGTGGGGGAGGGCTCCCGTTCCTCAGCCTGGTGACTCATGGGCCTTTACAAGCAGGAGACAGGGCATTATGCGTGTGGAACAGGAAGCATGCATGTATGGATAAAACGGAATTATGTGGCCTAATGACTTTTGGAAATTACCCTAATCATATCTGAGGCATGCTGTTTTGTTTTGTTTTTTCTCTCTCTCTTTACTGAAATTTACTCAGGAAACATTACTGGGGAGTCAATCCCAGCAAAGACCGGTATAAGGAGCTGCGAAGATGTAAGAGTAAATCATTCAAATCCCTGCCCTCCAGCCTGACCGAGAAAGCAGATATTCAAACAATGACTATACCGGAGTCAGGTGATAGGTACTGAGAGGGCAACGCAAAGGAAAGCGTGATTCATTCTCAGGGACATTTTATTCTTAGACTTCCTTTCACTGACAGGTTTTCTATTTGGGAGGGATACATAAGAGTACACACGACAAAATGACACCTGATGGCTAACGTGTTTCTGTGTCCACGATTAGGAAACGGTTTCACAATGCACATGTGACATTTTGCCTGTCTGGCTGTTTCAGGATGTTGTCAGATGAGCTTCACCCTTCTTCTCATTGATTTCACACAAACTTTACTCTCCTTCTGTGAACTGCAGGGAATGCAAATCACATGAGTTCCATGTTCGGTTACCATGTGATTTCCTGGAGCCTTTTGCAGACTTAGTACAGTAACTCTTGTGGGCATCCAGCCTCCACGTGATGACTAAACCCTTCCCACGGCTGGGCTTTATTTGCCCACGTGAAAATCACTGATCAGATCCATTTTATGGCTTGTATGCCCAGGGCAGCAATGTGTACAACAATTTCTGTCAGCTAACGATGTCCTTGGTGTCCGTCAGCAGCCAGAACATAAAGACATTTCTCTCCCAGCGTCAAAACTGGAGTTCCTTTAACTGTTGGAGCAGTCAGACTAAATCTCACGTGGGCAAGGACTTTTTTTTTTTTCTGTCCAGAGTTTCAGCTCCAGTACTCAGAAAAGTGCTTATCTCATAGCAAGTGCTTAACAACTATGAATGAAAGAAGCAATGAATGAATGAATGACTCCCTAAGCAAGAGTCTGATAGACATTTTCTTTTTCCTTCCAGTTCCTACCAAGTGTTAGTGGTGCCTCTGGCCCTCCAAAGCACGTTTTCTTGTGATTCCGAAGGGGCGACCTCATTCTTTAGCAATACTTCTGATACCGATGGCTACGTGGCTGCAGAACTACTGGCCAGGCATGTTCCAGATGATGCCATGGAGATATCCATCGGAGACAGGCTGTATTATGGGAAATATTATAATGCACCCTTGAAAACAGGGAATGATTATTGCATCATAATACGAATCACAAGCGAATGGAATAAGGTATATGTCTTTAAAAGCCCTTATGAACTATGTTCTTCTTCACGTGAAATTTGAATGGTTGGATATTCGTTTTCCCAGTGTTTGAGATGGACACTGCACATAATAACCATAAGAATGTGTTGAACACTTGGCCTTGGTAAAGGACGGGCAGGTCTTTGGAGGGTGATAGTCTGAACTTCCTAGAGGCCCTGGTTGGACCTGAGTTTGGGCTGATCTGGTTTTGGCTCTTCCTCTGACGCTTCACAGATGCTCCCTGCCAGTGCATTGCGGAAGCCTGAGTTGGAGATGAATTTCTAGATCTCTTGTCACTTCCCCATTCTCCTGCCAGCCTGCAGCCTCCCCTCATTCTCCCGGAAGCAGCGGGGAGGGCAGATTAAGCTCAGTCCTGCCCCACATCCATCTCTTCTATGGCTGTTGCATAGCCCTCACGCGAGTCTCCCCTGTCCTTAAAAAGGCTGTGCTCTCTCAGATGTGGTTCTTTCATGAGACACATAGAACTGAATAGTCATCACTTAATAAATAAATATAATGGCTGGATCCGTCAGCCAGGAATACTGTGATGGTTGAACTCTATACGTTTTAAAGGCCCTACCTCCAATTATCATCACATTGGGGCTAGGGCTCAACAGTTGAATTTGGGGAACAAACATTCAGTCTGTGACAAAGGGGATAAAGTAGGAGGTTATGATAAAAATTTTAGTTTATGGGAAGCTTTCCTATGATGTCATTGTTACCTCCTTTTCATACAGCTGAATGGAACATGTGCCCGTTTTGGGGGGTGCTAAAGAAGATGGGGAGCTGTGAAAAGATGTATATGTGGACTTGCATATTTGAATCGCAACTACTTACCCCAGGGGTTTCAACTATTTTAGTGTTATAATCATATTAAAATCAGTAGTGATTTTCTCATTTTTAAACAGCTTTATTGATATAAAATTTATATACCATATAATTTACCCATTTAATGTAGGCAATTCTGTGGTTTTTTAGGGTTAGGGTATTCACAAGCTTGTACAACTATTACCACGGTCAAATTCCAGAACATTATAATAGTGATTTTAAAAAATATTTTAGTTGTGGGAAAATAAAATTTATCATCTTAAACATTTTTTAAAATATATTTTTATTGCCTTTAGAGATGAAGAGAGAGAGAGAGGGAGAGAAACATCAATGATGAAAGAGAATCATTGATCGACTGCCTCCTACATGCCCTTTACTTGGGATGGAGCCTGCAACCTGTGCATATGCCCTGACTGAGAATCAAACTGTGATCTGGTTCATAGGTGGACATTCAACCAGTGAGCCACCTAGGCCGAGCCATACATGTTCTTTTCCCTTTCTTCCTGGTTCTTGGCTACAGTTTGGGCAAATGTGTTTGCCAGATTAAGTATCATCATTATAAGTGAAGTATTATTATGTGCCAGTAGTAGTAGCCCTGCCTATCACATGCATCAAAACTTCTCGCTGACCTCAGAATCTTCTCAACATCATTCTCATGTTGAGAAGATCTTGAGGTCAACATCACTGGCCCATAAACAACTGGATCAGTGCCAGTTGTTCAGAGCTGACAAGGGGAATGAACTTTATTGCCCTGCCTGTTGTTCACCCACAGGATGTGCTTTCTGAAATCTAGGGAAAGCTATAGAAGTGATCCCTGGGGTCACTTGCCAGTCCCCTGAACACCTGGTGATCATATGGCTGAGATGTAATATGTTGGATGGAATATGTTCTAGTCCAAATTAAGAGCTGAACCTCGGAGAACCGACAGCTTGTGCCATCTACTTCAAACCTGTTGCTGTGTTTGCCGTTATAGGTGAGAAGATGCTCCTGTGCAGTTTGGGCTCAGGTGAAAGGTAAAACCCTTTTCTGCCTACCAGTGCTGTCCTCACCTCTATGTCCAGTCTGCAGCATCAGGTGTATGTTAATGAGATTCCTTTTGACATCGTCACAGGTGACAGAAACCCTGTCATAGTAGCTTAAGCAGAAAGCTGAAAAGAATGGGGGTCTTAGGGCGGGAGTGGATGGAATTCCCACAAGAGCAGCATCCCCAGGACTCCAGGAACTGGGACTTGGGACTCAACACCATGCGTGGGATTCTCTCTTTCTGTCTCTTATCTCTGCCCTGTTTCTAAGTGCGAGGTGGCACCATTTTCTTTGACTATAAGCCATGTGGTGGGGAGGGATGGGCCCCAGCTACCACAGCTTAGCAACTTCAGTAGGAACAGAAAGTTCCTCAGTTCAGGGAACATCTTTCCTCCTAGGGGATGTGACCCTCTGTTGGATGAGTCACTGTTAATAGGAGATGGGATACGATGATTGGTCTATCTAGGGTTTGGGGCTTACTCATATGATTGGTTGGGGGCAGATCAACCCCATCAGCAGTGCAGTAGGAGGGGACATGATCCCCATCAGGAAAAGAGGCACAGAAAACATGTTGGCAGACCACAACAAAGAGCTACAGCAGCCTGCTGCTTTCAACCATTTGGCTGCTTTGCACGTACACATACATACACACATGCTATTAAGAAAGACATCTTCCATTAAGGAAACGGAACGATCCTCCAGACAACCGAAAGTGGCACCCTCGTGGGAGATAACTCACACGGGAGCCTGTTACTGTCTCCAGCTCCAAGACCAAGATTCCCGGGCGTGGTTCCGTTCCTCTTGATCAAATCCAGATGTGCTCCTCATGATCTCGTTTAGCAATCCATGACTAAACGGCTGCCATTCTCAAACCACAGTCTATAATATGAAAGGAAAAACACTAAGTACTTTCACTTAGAAAGGAGGAAACACTAAAGTACTGTGCGCTGGGCTGGGGGCCCATAGCAATGACTACCTCATGTTGGGGAGGAAAAGCAAGCACCCCTTGCCCCGGCAGCAGAATGGGTCACTTGATCCGTCGGTTGGGCTGCCTCAGGCTTTTCCTGGGTCTGCCTGGTGGGAGAGTAGCCTTGTCTATTCCTCCCAAAACCACATCTAAGAGATGACCTGGGAGGAGCTCCACTGAGTGCTGTACAGTGGTCGGCAAACTCATTAGTCAACAGAGCCAAATATCAACAGTACAACGATTGAAATTTCTTTTGAGAGCCAAATGTCTTAAATTTAAACTATATAGGTAGGTATATTGTTATTAACTTAATTAGGGTACTCCTAAGCTGGCCTTTGCTAAAAACATGGTATTTTGTGGAAGAGCCACACTCAAGGGGCCAAAGAGCGGCAGTTCGCTGACCACTGGTTAAACCTTCTGCTTCCTACATGCACTTATCCAGGCGGGGACTTGCCTTAGGGATTAAGCCATGACAGCTCCTTGTTTGCCAGGCTGGGATTTCCCCAGCAGCCAGCCAGGGGATTTGATTCCCAGAATGCTATTATTTTATAGCTAATACCAGAAATCTTGTCAAGTTTACGACCTTTGAATCTGGACCCTTTCCTTGTGGTTTATGAGTCCTAGCAAATTCCTGAGGAATTCTGCCCGTTGCCTGCAGTATCAGTTTAACCCCTTACATCCTGTCCCTTATTTCACAGCAGCACAAAACAAGAGGCTGGGGTGGTGAGGAAGAGCGGACTTAGCAGGAAATGCTTGAGAGGGACCTGGGGAATTAGGCTTTCTTCATGTGTCTGCCCATCCCCTCAGCTTATTTCTCCTCTTTTTATTCTACTCACACCGACTTCAACAAGGGTAGAGGACTTGGTTTTTCAGTTGGGAAGGGATAGTACCTGACCACGAACCATCTTGGCTTATGGATGGCCAGACAGTGAAGGTTTCTCTCTTGCTCTTCTATCTCCAGCTTTATTGAGATAGGATCCTATACAATCCTATACAATAAAGATGTAATATGCAAATTGACCATCACTCCAACACACAAGATGGCTGCCCCCATGTGGTCAAAGGTGGCCATCTCTATGTGGACACAAGATGGCCATCACAAGATGGCTAGCAAGGGAAGGCAGTTGGGGGCTATCAGGCCTGCAGGAGAGGGCAGTTGTGGGGGGACCCAGGCTGGCAGGGGAGGGCAGTTGGGGGTGACCAGGCCAGCAGGGGAGGGCAGTTGGGGGCCACCAGGTCTGCAGGGGAGGATAGTTAGGGGCAACCAGGTCGACAGGGGAGGGTAGTTAGGGGTGACCAGGCTGGCAGGGGAGGTAAGTTAGGGACAATTGGGCTGGCAGGGGAGAAGTTAGGAATCAATCAGGCTGGCAGGGAAGTGGTTGGGGGGGGGGGTGATCAGGCTGACAGGAAGAAGGGGTTAGGGGCAATCAGGCAGGCGAGTGGTTGGGAGCCAGTAGTTCAGGATTGTGAGAGTGGAATCAGGCCTAAATGGGCAGTCAGACATCCCTTGAAGGTTCCCAGATTGGAGAGGGTGCAGGCTGGGCTGAGGGAGACATCCCACCCCACCCCCATGCATGAATTTCGTGCACTGGCCTCTACTGGATATATAATTGGCATGACATTGTGTAAGTTTGAGGTGTATAATGTATATAATTTGGTCACCATGCTATGCAGTAGATTCCCAGGACATCTCATAACTGGAAGTTTGTATCCTTATATCAACATCTCCCCATTTCCCCCACTCCTGGGCAACTACCATTCTATTCTCTGTTTTGATGAGTTCAGCTGCATTAGATTCTATATGTAAGGGAGCTCGTATAGAATTTGTCCTTCTTTGTGTGACTTATTTCACTCAGCATAATAAGCGAGGACCTTGCTTAACAAAGATGTATGCTCTGCCTTCCTGGGTGTAGACAGGCTAAGCTCCCTTTCCTGGAGTTGAATGAAAGAGCCATACATTCAACACCGAGACATTTCTCTGCCAGTCCATTCCCTGAAGCACTAAGGGTGGGAGTGGAGTGGCCACAAGGAAAAGAGGTGCTTTTTTTTCCAGAGAATAGAGATGTGCAAGTATCCCGGCCAGACACAGAATTGATAGCTCCCAGGTGCCACTGCTTTCAGCAACTGTGATTGGCAAACACTCCAAATAGGTAGAAGAAATGGCCAAGGAGCTGGCTGCATTCTACTATGATTAAGTTAAACAGGAAGGACTTTGCTTTGGAAATATCTAAGTGGCATTTGGCAGTCCCCTGCCCCCACCCCCTTGCCACCCCTCAAATTAAGGACCAACACTGAGAGCAAGTTTGAACCTTTGAATTCAAACTACTGGAAAGATCTGGAGGTAACAGAACACCCATGGTTATGTTGAAATTCTGAGGGGAATTCTAGCACATATTTTTCTATGTAGTTAACCTGTGTTGTACACTAAGCTCAGGCAGGCTCTTCTGTGAAAAGGAGAAATTGTTCCTTTTCAGTCATGCCAAGCAAAGGGCCCATTCTTTCCTTTGCCCAATGATGAATTATGGTGTTTACCTTTCACAAATTGCCTGTAAAAGGGCTTTGTGATGGTTACCAAGGAACCAGCAGTTGGTTTGATGGGAAATGCAAAGGCCTGGGCTAACTTGCCCCGAGATCTGGTCCTAATCAGCCGAATGCCTTGAAATGATATTTAACTTGGCGGATTCTCAGTGGCCTCTTTCCGAGATCTCTGCGACCCCTTCCAGCCACCAAGGACTGTGAGTCTGATTTCTTGAGTCATTTAATACATATGAAATGATAAACTGCAATCAGGGAACATTCTTCTGTTGCAGGCAGAAACTCTGAGTCAGCCACGTCTCCTCTTTCTCTTCCTGCCCATATTTTGCACGACGGGGCATGCCTCTCGGATTTTCATCTCTGTGCTCACCTCCTAACATGGACCACTGGGAAAGCCTCCTATCTCGTTTCCCATCACAAGAGTTCAGGGTTTCCCGCTTCTCCCTTGCCTGCGCGCCACCACCTGATTCATACTTCTAGACCTCAGCTCTGGTTTTATTATTTCCCCTGACAGTGTTCCATAGTTCTCCATGACTTTTTAGTTTTATTTCCAAGCCTCCGTGTGACACCAACGTACCTTTCTAATTGCATCCCTTATTCTTCATGCAAACTTATCTAGCAGCTCTTGCTAGATAAGGCCCCTACTTTCTCTCTTTAATGATGTGCTCATATGATTACATGCTTACTTCCATCTGGACCGCGTTATACCCTTCCAGTAATCTCTCCTTCTTACAGTCCCACTTGTTCTTTAAGATTTAAATCAAGTGCCATCTTCTTCCTGAAGCTTTTATTTGCTCGATGGGACAGATCTCTATCTCTTCCTCGCTTTAGCCATTCTGGCATACTTTAGAGCAGGGGTGGGGAACCTTTTTTCTGCAAAGAGCCATTTGGGTATTTATAACATCATTTGTGGGCCATACAAAATTATCAACTTAAAAATGAGCCTGTGCTGAAACCGGTTTGGCTCAGAGGATAGAGCGTTGGCCTGCGGACTGAAGGGTCCCAGGTTAGATTCCAATCAGGGGCATGTACCTTGGTTGTGAGCACATCCCCAGTGGTGGGTGTGCAGGAGGCAGCTGATCGATGTTTCTCTCTCATCGATGTTTCTAACTCTATCCCTCTCTCTTCCTCTCTGTAAAAAATCAATAAAATATGTTTTTTAAAAATGAGCCTACTATATGTGGTCAAACATTTAATTAGCTCACCCCTAATGTCTTGGCAGGGCCAGACTAAATGATTTCATGGGCCTTATATGGCTCTCTGACCAAATGTTCCCTACCCTTGCTTTAGAACCATGAGTATACTTGTCTTTTCTTACCCTATTTCCTACCCTGGAGGGAGAGCATTTGAAGAACTGGAGCAGTACTTAGCATACATTCAGTGCTTAATCAGAATTTTTGGAATTGGGTTGAATGGTTAATAGGGAATCAGAAGTACAGTTTGATGAAAAACAAGGCATAATAGGAGTGTACTTGTCAAATTAAATAATCCGGATAATATTTATATCAGGATATAAGCCTAGTCCAGCTGGTGTGGCTCAGTGGCTGAGCATTGACTTATGAACCAGGAGGTCACAGTTCGATTCCCAGTCAGGGCATATGCTTGGGTTGTGGGCTTGATCTTCAGTGTGGGGCTAGCATGAGGCAACCGATCAATGAGTCTCTCTCATCATTGATGTTTCTATCTCCCTCTCCCCCTCCTTTCCCCTCTGAATAAAAATATATTTAAAAAAATAAAATAAGACCTTCATAATTGCAGTAGGCAGAGGTCTAAATGGCCTCATAAATTCGTGGCTCCTGGTGTACACCCATTTTCTCCCATTTATTTACAGGCTAGTCTAGATGCTGCTGTGAAAAAATAATACCCACTGGATGCTTAGGGGAGGTAATTATAACAAGGTCTGGCACGTAGTAAGTGCCAAATAAGTGTTTGCAAATTAAAACATGACCCTTGGTTTAGAACATGACAGTAACTGAACCTGACAGTTACTGGGCCCAAATGTGTACCTCACATGTGGGTCTTTTCCAGGTTATAACCAGAAGTTGGCATGTGATGCACCCCAAATAGAAATAGTTATGTCTTTCAAAGAGCTTTTACATCCATGTTCTTATTTTGTCCCCCAGGGGAACCTGCTGAGCAGAACAGGGAGACACCACTCTTGCTGATGCGTAGGGAAAATGAGAGAGAACTCTACCAACAGACAGGATTTACTGGATAGGATTTACTTGCTCTGATCAACTATTGGAGCTCTCATTTTTCGAGCAAAAAAATCCAAGTGATGTCGGAACGACTCCTTCCTCAATGCAAAGGAAAACTGCCCCTAAGTCTAGCCAGTGTTGTTGACTTGAAAGGAGACCAACCAGAGCACACAGTGTGCTGCATTTGTATGCTCCTCAAGCCCGTCTTTCCATCCCTCACGACTTGAGTGTGGCCTGGTTTCCTGCCTCCTCTTCAGAAATACCCTGGGACTGTTTTCCTGAGGCCCTGCATCCTCAGGGCGAACCCAGAGGCAGGAGGCACTCTGGGCATTTCGGGGATGGTTTGTTAAGTGAAGCCAAGTTTGGGGTTAAAACGGAGTGAGCACAGGTGGGTGTGCACCTCCTAGGAGGGCATGATTCAGGTGCTGTGGGCTCAGGGTGTGGTTTCGTCCCACAGCTTCGTCAGTCACGCTGCAGCAGATGGCAGGCGTTGGGCTGGGCTCCGTGGTTGTCGTGATGGCTCTCGCATTCCTCTCCTTCTTAGCAGTGTGGTACGTGAGCTTGTTTTTGAGAAATGAGGTCAGCAGAGGGTGGATGGAGTTGGGGTCACGGAGAACAGCTGGGATTGAGGAGGGTCAAAGGGATACGGGTGGAGGTTGTCTGGGCATAACGGACACTCAACAGGCAAAAGGCATGAGTAATTCTGCACCTTAGGGTGGTGGGATGCCCTCCTGTCCCAGGGGAAGAGCCAGGTCAGTGATGGCTGCCATGGCCACCCAGAGTGATGGCTCCTCTCCCATGCAGTTCTCATGAATGTGCCTGGGCTGCTCACAGGGATGCACCATGGGATAACCAAAGTGTGCCAATGGACTGACTCTCTTTTCTCTTCCATGTCTGGATTGCAGATGAGTGCTACGTGGGGCAGATGCATTGCTGCTGAGGCAGATGTTATGACTGCTTCTCTGGTGTCTGCATTGAGCACCTTCCATCCAGGTGTGTGGGGGCCTGTGGACATTCTCCATTCCCAGCTTGGCCCCAGTCCTGGATTGAAGATGGTAACTATGGAACTCCCCAAAAGGAGGAAACTCAGGAATTGCTGTTGTCTCCCCTGCTACATACACGACCACTATGAACTTGTGTCTGTGAACTTGAGACTCTTGATATATGGATGGAATATTGACTCAGACTTCCTCTGGGTGAGGCCCGAGAAACAGCTCCTCCAGACATGAGTGCAAGAGGGTCTTCTTTTATAGCATCTTTGTTAATTCAGAATCCATTCTTTCACAATAAGCAATGAGATGGACTTAAGATTTTTTGTTCGAGTGTGTGTTTTAAATATATTTTCTTTGATTTCAGAGAAAGGAAGGGAGGGGGGAGAGGAATAAAACATCAGTGATGAGAGAAAATCATTGACTGCCTGTCTACTGCATGCCCCGCAATGGGGATTGAGCATGAAACCCAGGCATGTGCTCTGACTGGGAATTGAACCATGACTTTTTGGTTCATATTAATAGGTCAATGCTCAACCACTGAGCCACACCGACTGGTTGAGATAAACTTAAGATTGGATTAAAATTTGACTTGATGAAAAAGGTCATGAAAAGGATAGAGATCCTTGACCCAGGCCAACTTGTCAAACACTGTAGAGCAGCCCTTTTCCTATAATTAACTGACATCTAATTAGAAAGTATACGTTCCCTGAAAAGTCTGTTCGATACAGTCTCATTAGTCTTATGGATTCAAAAGCCATACGTGTTCATTTCAGGAAAAATATTCTGTGAATTTAGACCATTCTCTTGACTATGAATATTTATAGCAGCCTTGGTTAATTTTTTTATTAATGAGGGTCTCATAAAAATGCTCTGTGCCCCCCTTTCGATTCACATATTAACATTGGATTGGAACAATATCAAGCCCAGGGCCGGCCAGAATCCATGCATTTCCAGAGGTAGGGGGACAATGTGGGTAACGTGATCATCCCTTTTGCCTACAGCAGCTCTGGCTGCCTCTCCATCATGAACCATGACGCTGTAGGTGGAAGCAGCCCTGGGCCTACTATGACTGAGCTGCACTGACAGGTGGGGTGCAGATTTGACTTTCAAAGTGAATGTGTACTTAACTTTCCTTCCTAACTGACATGCAACTCCAAGGCTCAGTAAGGAGCCAATGGAGAGGAAAAGCAGAGGCTTGTGATTTCCCTCAGTCACAGTGGCTTCTCCTCCCTCCCTTTCTGGGTCTGGAGAATAAGAAGCGTGGGGGAGACCCAAGGAGGACAGTTATACTGTACAACCTCCGGGCGCAGCGTGTCAGAACATGATCCTAGAATTGAGCAACGAAGCAGCCCTGAGGAAAAGGGACAGTGATGCCCACAGGGTGGGCTGGTGGGTACTCCACCGGCTTCCTGGGCTTATGGGTGAGGGGCAGAGCTGAGTAGCCTGGGCTTGTAGGCAGATGAGGATTCAGTAGGAACAGGTGCAAACTGTCTGTGAGGTTGCTCCGCCCTGAGGGCTCCGGCCCCAGGTGAATCCACGTACTTGGGAAGGGTCAGAGAAATGGAAGTAATATGCCGACACTTGGGGGTCAATGCCAGAGGTCAGCCCCGGCCCCTGCAAGTACAGGGCAGCGTTAGAAATACTGGTCCTTCATCCTCTGAAGCACTACCTCAGACTACAACGTAGGATCCACATTTACAACTATTCCTGCTCTCATCTCAGGTGAATTATAGAGTAGAGCTCTCAACAGACTGACACAGATAGCTTTCTACTTTTCATTTTATGGGCAACAATTCAAACTCATTCTGTTTTCACAGCTTGAATGAAAATTGGAATCATTACACATTATTGTGATTATATAGGGTAGGAGCGCTGATGAGCAAGGATTTTCCTCTGCCCCAAGCGAGAATCTAAGCCTTCCCTCCTCCTCCTTCTCCTCCTCTTCCTTTAAAAAAAAAAAAAAAAAAAAAAAATTCGCTGGGACCGGTTTGCTCAGTGGATAGAGCGTCGGCTTGGGGACTAAAGGGCCCCGGGTTCAATTCCGGTCAAGGGCATGTATAATACCTTGGTTGCGGGCATATCCCCAGTAGGGGGTGTGCAAGAGGCAGCTGATCGATGACTCTCTCTCACTGATGTTTCTAACTATCTCTCTCCCTTCCTCTCTGTACAAAAATCAATAAAATATATATTTTAAAAAAAAAAAAATTCAGAGATGAAGGGGGGGCTTCCCTGAGGGGGGAGAGGAAGAGAGAGAGAGGGAGGAGAGAGAGAGAGAGAGAGAGAGAGAGAGAGAGAGAGAGAGAGAGAGAGAGAGAGAGAAAATTATGAGAGAATGCCTCCTGCACACTCCACACTGGGGATCAAGCAGCAACCTGGGCATGTGCCCTGACTGGGAATCGAACCATGACCTCCTGGTTCATAGGTCAACCCTCAACCACTGAGCCATGCCAGCCAGGCTTTTCTCTCTCTCTCTCTCTCTCTCTCTCTCTCTCTCTCTCTCTCTCTCTCTCTCTCTCTCTCTCTCCCTCCCTCCCTCCCTCCCTCCCTCCCTCTCTCTTTTTAATATTGGTTATGTAAACAACATATGTTTTCATACACACACACACACCCCTAATTTTCTGCTCTAGAATTAACTTCTGAACAAGCTACAGCTGTCCACATGGAAACTTAGCATAATTGTCATTGGAAAAAAAGAAATCCCACTTGCTTAGCATAAAAAATTCTAGTTAAAATAACTATTAAGTAAAATGCACTTGTGCAGAAATGTAAGAACTGTTCAGGCAAGAGTACTAAGAGAGCAAAAATATGGACTTTGCTACTTCCTCTAGATGTTCCAAATGGTAACAGAGTCCCTCGGTGTTAATCCTTAACAGAAGCAGGTGCTGAGCATTTGCGAAAAGGATGTGCCCTCTTTCTGCAGTTTGCTCCTCACAGTTTCCTCAGCTTTCTAAAGTCGCCTGGTAGCTTTACTGCTATATTCCCCACCCCAAATGGATTCCTGGTTAAGGGGGGAGGGCATCTCAGGAGACTTGACAGTTTGTTTTCCTGGGAGAATGAGGGTCCTTTTATTGAAGGACAGGTCAGATGGCACCCGGAGTTGGGTAATGAGTGCCAGGACTTAAAACTGGGCCCCACGGTGGGGATGGAGGAAGGAAGGACCTTCCCTGTTGGCTGTCTTGGGACGATGTGTGGAGGTGGGCCCTAAGATCCAGTCTTGAGCTCCCTTCCAGACTAGGAACCCTAAGTGGGGGGACTGCCCAGTTACGGAACTGACTGTTCCCTTGACCATAGTTTTTATTTATCTCCTCTTTAGTTTCTGTTTGTATGTGGTCTTTCACTTCATTCTCACAACAGTTCTGTGTGGTGGGAATGTTAAGGGTTATTGTTTACCATGTTTTAGAATGGAAAATGGGCTCAGTGGGCCAAGTCTTCTGACTGCAAGCCTAGTTCTCATTGCTGGGATTTCATAGGCCTTGAGCTAACCTTTGGACAGCCCTTTTGGTTCTTGGGAGAGTCAGGTTTTTTTTATATCCAAACTATCCCCTTTCCTTTCTTCCTTTCTTTTTTCTTCTTCATGCTCTTTCCCCTCCTACTGCTTCTTCCTCTTCCCCTTTCCTCCTTCTCCTTCCCATAATGAGGTCCAACTATGCATGTAGTTTTGTAATATGTTTCTTTCATTCATCAACATTTCCTTCTTCATGTTAATAATACTTGCATTAAAAGTTTGAACCATAATTTATCTCATCAGTACTCTATTGAGCACTTAGAATGTTTCCAGATGTTTATTATCCTTACACAAATCTGCATAATTGTATGCAATTATTACTTAGGCTAACTTCTTAGAAGTGAAATTGTTGTAATGAAAACCACTATTACATTTTATCTTTACTACATATTGTCAGATTACTTCATAATCTCACAGGAAGTTTCTACAAGGTTGTACTCTCACCTGCAGAAAGCTTCAACATCACTAGGCATTATTGATATCTCTAATCTTCATTAATCTGGTAGGTGAAAATGCTGTTTCAGTATTTTATTTGTATTTCCTTGACTATTTCTTATGTGGATTAGTCATTCATAATTTTGTCTTGGTAACTTTTCTTTTTTCTCAGTACTTGGCATGTTGTTTATCTTTTATTGGTTTGAAAAATCCCTTTGTATCATAATAATTTTCACTCTTAGCTGTCATATATAGGGGCTCCCAAAAATATATATATACACTTTTACAAATGATAGCTCAATTGATGTTTCTTTCTTTCAGATTTAGCCCATTGGAATTAATAATTATTCCGAATGTGTATATATATTTTGGGACATCCTGTGTTTTGTAAACAAATTTTCTAGTTTATCATTTTCTAGTTTATCATTTCCATATAAAATCTTTATATTTGTATAGTCAAATTTATCAGTCTTTTTCCTAATTATTTTGCTTTTGGTGCCATGCTCAGAACTTTCAATCTCAAGGTAAGAAATATAATGCAGCAGTTAAAAATAAAATACTTGCCGAAACCGGTTTGGCTCAGTG